TACAATGCACTGGCACAGGACAGCCCCCACGACAGAATCATCTGGCCCAGAGTGTCAGTAATGCTGAGGTTCAGGGCTCCTGCTGTGGACTATGTTGTTTAAGCCATCTGGTCTGTTACAGTAGCCCTAGCAAACTAATACAGCAGGTCTCTGAGCCTCACCGGTTCCTCAGTGGACTCCAGGAATTTGTATTATCCAAACTGTTTCTTCCCAGGTGGAAAACTCTGAAAGCAAGTAGAAGCATTAGCCTCTTCAGTTCCCTCTTGCTGGACATGCTGTTTGTAATGTAAAAATAAAAGATCTTTCAAAGTGAGAAGCAACAGCATTTATTTGAAATAAAAAATAATAGCTATTTGGGAAGTGCTGATTGAAGTAAAAACCCAAATAGTGTTCTGATAAGTAGACAAAGGCAAGGGGTATTTATGAGAAAGTGAAGGGGAGCAATTACATCCACAGATATTGGTGCAGATAAGCTAACATAGTGACACTAATTCTTAACAATGTTTTTAATTTTCAGTCCAGCTAGTCAGAATATCTGCTTTCTTGTCCTTGCAAACAGTTTGAGACACAATGTTGCTTTAAGCCCAGTCCAAAGTTTACTTTGCCCTGTACTAACATTCCAAAGGTTTGAGACATAAGATGTGCAAGGTGGTTTTTCTGGGATGGCAGCTCTGATTCCATTTTAAAGTGGTTCCATTTATTTTTTACATCTTGTCTTGCAGATCCAGCTTTGGGGCTGCTGCCTCCTCATTCTCCTGCAGGGCCATCACACCATCTTGGATGTTTGCATTTTGGTGGGGCATGCTTGGGGTCCCAGAGCCTCCACATGCAAAGATTAAGACTTATCTCTCCTTGCTCTACTTGATTTCTAAGAGAAAAGAATGGGAAGCTCACTCCTTGCTCCTTGAAACACCTTTCTCCCAGCTTCAGCGGCATATCTTTCTCCTGCTCCCCACCCTGCCCGCCCCATACTCACTGCCCCTTCTTTCTAAGGCTGCTTCTTCACTGGCTCCTTCTCTCTCACTTGGTGACTAAGTCGTCCAGTGGTGCAGTGCTCTGAGTCTGTTCACTCTAATTGCTTTCATCTATACTCGGCAACCCGTTCAGTTCCAGTGTCTAAGCTACTGACTGCCAGGAGTATTATCAAGGTCTTCAGTACACGAATCCCTAAGTGTGTTCCCACCTCCCCTCTGAACATCAACCTTCCCTCGTTTGCAAAAGAAAGGCATACCTTTCACTTATCCAGTAGCATACTAGAGTTCTTTAAACATCCTCAATTGCACCAAAGGCACAACTGAGAAGGTTGATTTGTTGTGGATGCTGAGAAAGAGAAGTCCTTTCCAAAATTGGAGGGTTTCCGATACTTGGCTTTAAACAAAAGTGGAGGACCTAATAGATTTGTCAGCTGAATATTTAAAGTCATTTTTTTATGATAGATCTTTTGTTTTGTTTTGTTTTGATATAATTAAAGCAGCAAGGATCGAGTGACAGTGCTATAACAAAACTTTTCATGTAAATTTCTGGAGTTAAGTGGTACAGAAAAATTTTAAATGCAGTTTGACTTTCCATGTCCACAAATATTTCAGTTCTCGAACCTTTTTCTTTTTTTTTGTAAAACGAAATAAATTCAGAATATTAAAGTCTCTATGCCTTTATTGCAATGCTCAGAGTGCAGGTGGGGCTCAGGAGTTAGCATTTTTAATAAGCTTACCCAGGAGAATTACCAGGTTAGCAGATGGAGGATTTGAGGATTAGGATTGCTATTCAGCTAGACAGCCTTGAATATAATTTCTGTCACAAAGCATGGAAGTCCTATCTGTATTTATTTAAGTGACTTCATATTCTGAATATGCAGTATAAGTTTACTGTATTTTATGAGATGTTAGAAAATGTAATTTTGATGCAGTTCAAAAACTGAAATTTTTAGTGACAGAGGAGTTGTGTATCTCTTTGGGGGAACAGTTTTACTGAGATATAATTCACATGCCACATAAGTCATCCGTTTAAAGTATACAATTCAATTCGATGGCTTTAGATATGTTCATGGGTGATGCAACTATCACTGCAATCAATTTTAGAACATTCTCATTACCCCAAAAGAAACTCTGCACCCTTTAGTCATCACTCCCAAACACATTTATCCCCACAGCTCTAGGCGACTACTAATCTCTCTGTTGGTACGGATATGCCTATTCTGGACATTCCATATAAATGGAATCATAACTATGTGGTCATATGAAACTGAATTCTTTCACTTAGCATAACGTCTCAAGGTTCATGTTGTAGCGTGTCAGAACTTCACTCCTTTTTGTGACTAGACCATATTTTATCAATTCATTACTGATGGACATTTGGATTATTTCTACTTATGAATTTTTAAATATTTGCAATTGGCTCCAGGTAAAGGAAGATGGCCTTTGGTTGTGGTAAATACAAGGTTTACATGGCTTGAGAAAGAATGACTATCAGAGATTGTCTTTTTAAAAGATGGTAGTGGAGTGGCAAAATTTGTGTATTGGATAATTGGTAAAAAGCTCAGGGAGATAAGCCAAGAGGAACTGTCAGCATAACATGAACTAAAAAAAAAAAAAACTGGGATTTTATTAATCTTCCTGAACTGCTTGCAGTTGCATTTGTCACTTCAGCTATGGAGTTGGACCTTTGTGCTCTGGGGGCTGCTAAGTGTGGGAATCCTCTTGCTGTTTGGGGCGTCCACCACTGTTGAAGGGGTCACTCTGACAGCCCAAAGGATTCTCCTTGACCGCTGGCTGTGAGAGAATGGTGGGTGACTTAAACTTGGCCAATCAAATAATCTTGCCTGAGATTTGAAGCCTAGATGAGTGACCTAGAGTCACAGACAGTGAGAGTGAACTTTGGTTCACTCTGGAGCGGAGTGCTCATTGGAAGCGGGGCCAGTGGAGCCTGACTTGGCCAAGGCAGCAGTGTCCTTGCCAGTCTCACCCTGGGGCACAATTCTGGTTGTTTCTGGCGGATTAGCACAGGGGAGAATAACCAAGAAAATTCTGGTGAAAAAAAGTAATGAGGGGCTATCTATACCAGTTATTAAACTTTATTAAATACTACATTTACTTGAGTTATTTAAGTTTATACAGCAGTTAAAAATAGAAAAAAAATTGAGAAGGAACGCTTAAGACTAAAATCTCAGAAATTTTAACATTCCTCTAGAACATCTGGCTTATCATTTTGGAACTCACTCTTGAATCCTTTGTGTGTAACCAACAGGGCTAAGTTAGACCTCCACCTCCAAATCTTTCTCTCTGAACATGTGTGATCAATGTTTTTTTCCTGCTCATACAAATAGACAGGTATAATAAAAACGTCCACATTTATTACATTAATAAAATATTAACATCTTGTTTTCACTTTTTTTATAACTTAAATGACCTTTTCTCTTTGAGTATCATTATAAACTAATGGTTGCCCACCCTCAACAAGTCTAAATAATATTCAACTATTCACAAACTAGTAGCACACCCTTTAAGCTGACTCTTGTTCTTTCAACATCATCCCTATTTTCATTGTTTTTGGTTTCTGGCAACCACATATTTCAGACATTTTCATTCTTCCTATCCCAAGATATGGAATCAGCTGTTTTACATAGAGTCCAAGTTCCTTTTAGTGGAGATTCGTATCAAAGGGCTGGAAAGTTTTATTTCTAAAGTTATAAGCTTACATTGGTTTTTCTGATTTACATCTTGGTATAAGCCTCTACTTTTATAGGATATGATTTTTATCAGCTAATAACATTTTCCTTTATGTCTTCAAACTTTCTATAAACCTCATAGGACAAATATAATAGGTGCTTAACAACACTGAGTGAACTTTCCAGAACCAGAGTCAATTGTTTTTATAGCAAAACCTATGTGAAATGATGCACCTGAATTTCTCATTTACTTGATGGCAGTTGCTGACTACAGACAATGTGAGGAAAAATAATGTCATGAGCCAGCTGCCCAGGCTTAGGAAACCTACCAGTACCAGAGGCAGTGATTAGGGTCTGTTGACAAAGGATGCCTCTCTTGATCCTCTACTCCTGTCTTATGGCTAGCGTTTACTACCTTCCATATATGACTGCTGTAAGAGTCCTTTGTTGCTGAGTTTAAACTCCAGTGGATGATCTGAACAGGGCCTCCAAGTACCCTTCTCATAAGGCATCACCCTGCAGGCCAGGCAGAGCTCTTAGGCCACACCACCTGGAAGGCTGCTTGGCAGTCTAAGGATGGCTGGCTGCTTCTGGCTGAGTAGCTACTCTAGTAGAAATGTGATACTCCAGGTGTCCAAGGTTGGAGCCATGCACATGTGCTGTCAACCTGGACCTCCCAGTTCCAGAATTGCACATCCAGATTGGAAAAGATTGGCTAGAATGGGAAATACATGCAATGCCATTATACTCTTCACTAGTCTGGGTAGACTGCCCTCCACTTGCCCTCACAGTACCTACCAGACTTCCAATATTCCATTTATCACCATTCTCAAGTTTATGCTTACATGTACCTGTTGAAAAGATAATGATTTACAATAGCTTTTATAACTGGAATTTTGAAATAAACACCAACCTCTGAGCACCTACTTGTCCTAAGCATTTTAGGACAAGTAGGTGCTCAGAGGTTGGTGTTTATTGGACTAAATTTAATTATCAAATGCACTAAATTTAATCATCAAAACAATCATGTGGTAGACATTTGCCTACTTTAGCAGATGGGGAAACAGAGTAGATGAGTAACCTGCTTCAAGTCTTATGTTTGAATCTAGAGGCCACCAAAACTCTCCCTTTAGCCCTCCACTGATTCATAAAAGTATGGATGTACATAATCCATAGAGTAACTATGCAGTTAAAATCTTGGTATTACAGAAACTGTCAATTATTAGAGGGATGTTTAATGATATTTTAAAGGAAAAGATACAACCCCTCAGAAATGGGAGCTACCCAGAAATTTTATGACACTAAATTATGATCAGGATAATAAGAGAAGTCTCACTTCAAAACAACAGAGAGATTAATTTATTATTAGACTTGTTGGTTAACTCTTCAAAGATTAGAAAACATATAACTAAAAAAAAATATTGGTCAGAAAAAGAAAGAGTAAGAATTTTAGTATCTGGCTGAAAATGAAAGGTGTTCTGAATGACTAGCTTGATTCTGAACAAGGTCGTAAACAGGTAAAACCTGGAAGACCAATGAAGCAGATATATATCTTAGATATGCTGCACCAGTCTTGCTTGGAATGAATTTTTGTTCATGTAAAAAACAGCCAAAGAAATAAGGGTGAGGTCCTCTTTTTCAGCCATTATTTTGGGACGAGTCTATGATAAAAAAGCCACCATGTAAACAGCTAGACTTCTTTCAAAACTGGCTCCATTCCTGAATTAGGCAGCTTCATTTCTCCTTAACCCAACAGAGTTTGCCATTTTCTCCAAGCCACACAGTTCCACTGGCCACCAGCTGGAGGGCTGCGGGAAATATTTTATGCTCTGCTGATTTCACTCTTTCAGACAGAGTTGCAACAGTGTCACCCCTCTTCACAGGAACAGCTTCTTGCAAAATAATTTGTCCAGCATCTACTTCTTCCTGAAAAAGGAAGCAAAGTTTTGAACATTACTTTCTAGCCAGTACAATTTACTTTTACACACTAATAATATTTTGGTAGAAAGAGACATACTCACAGCTACAAAGTGCACCGTGCACCCAGTTACTTTGACACCGGCACCCAGGGCTTGCTCGTGGGCATTTGACCCCTTAAAAGAAGGGAGCAAGGAAGGGTGGATGTTGAGCATTTTCCCTGAAAATTAAAAGCATAGTGGTCAGAATTAAAACGTCCTATGTATTCTCTTAAAGGAAACAGAAGTCAACAAGAGTAGGATTTCTCTGGGATGGGTGTTTTTATTCGTCAAAGGCAGAAATGAGGTAAAGGGAAATACAGGTTTTCATCCAAGGAGTTCCTGGGGGTAGCAAGTTCCTGCCTTGCACAGCTGCAGACACACCAAGGGCTCTGCGTAGGAGCCTGCAGTAACCAAAAGTTGGATGGGGGTGGGGAGAGGGTATCTAATCTGGATACAGAGCTCCCGAAGAACATTCAGCTTGTTGCCAGCACAGACTATTAGATAGACACAGAAGGTTCTCACTAGTGTCTAAGTGCTTGACTTTTACCAACCAAATGGTTGCTGGATTAGTTAATTGTGTGCCCCATGTCACCAAAGGCATTGTCTGTTTTATATTATGCAAGCACCCTATCTATATTCTCTTAGGAAAACTCTTCGGAGAGAAAATGCATTTACTGCCCAAATGTGTGCACAAGAAAACTAAGACGCAGCCAACACTTTTGTGGAAGAAGGCAACAAACAACATGAGACGTTTTCTTTTCTGCAATCAACGCCATCCTTGCCATCTTCTGGCAATGGCCTGCACTTCCTCAGGAGAGGATGACTCTTCATTCTGGGAAATAGGGAATCATTTTCTCTTGCTTCTCAACAAGTAGAAAAGTCTCTTTCAAGTATTTACTCAGAAGATGAATTACTATCTATGTAGTAATGTGAAGCAAACCTAAGCTACATTAGAAAAAGTGACTAATTGCAGCAGGCCAAAGAAAACTGATAAAGAGAGCAGGATAGTAAGTCTTCAGTGGGCCATCCTTTGGGCTAAAGCAAAGGAAATTAAATTATGGCCTGTGCCATAGTACAAAATGTCATGTAACTATTTCATGACTGGGATTGTCTGGCCAGTTAACCACCCTGTAGCCCATTTTCAGTCTCTTTCTCAATGTGGTATCAAACAATTTTTGCTTACCATTCCATTTTCTGACAAAGGGGCCAGATAAAATTCTCATGAATCCTGCGAGACAGACTATGTCTGTGGAGAACTCTTCAAGGACTTGGTCAATTGCAGTGTCAAATTCTACACGACTTTTATATAAGTTATGATTAATTACCTGTAATAGAAAAAGAGAAACATCAACTTTTTCAATGAATTATCAAAAAAAATTTAAAACTCAACTTTTACACAGAACATACTTCACTTCCTTTTGAAAACATACCGATATAAAGGGTAAAGGAACAGATAGGATGAAGCAGAAAGGCAAGTCCAGCACCCACCCTAAATACAGAAATCCAAAGAACAAGTGCCCTACACACCCAGGTCGGGGGTGGGGGTGGGGTGGGGGCGGATTATGAATTTAATACAGCCTGCAGGAGAGATGTTTCTCAAAGTAACTGACTCTGGTAGGAATTCCAGCTCTCGCTGCTTTATCTAAGCCAGCCACCGCTGCTTTGTTGGAGACGACGACAACAATGTGTGCACAGCTGCTCGGCTCCCGAGTGCTGTCTATCAGAGCTTGGAGGTTGGATCCTGAAAAAAGAAAAACGCAAGTAAGCTCACTTTCTTAAAAAAAGATATGTGCCACTGTGAATAGGGAATGGTCAAAATTTCTGGATGTTTTAGAAAAGATTGGCAAAATGTGAGGCTTTTGAAAGGCAGTTTAAACTGCCTTTCTTGGGATAATGGATTAATAGCTTATGAAAACATAGGCATTCCCGGTTTTAGGATATGTAATTGCTTTTGCAATATAATATCTATTTTTTAAAAAAGTATCTTATGATTTAGCACAGCAATGTGAATAGTATAACATGATTTTAAAACTGATTGATGAGGGATACACTGCTTAATTAAGCAAGAAAAACACATCTTCTAAAGAAGAATAAACTATTACGGTCTTTACAATAGTTTCTTTGTTTTACCATCAACCTGGGCCTAAAGTATACTGAAATCTTAAAATGGACTTGTAAAGCAATTACAATTCCGGGAATGTACCTTAAAGAAATAATCTGACATGCACTTCAACTGTCTCAAATGCCTGAAAAAGGCAGAAAGACTGAGGATGCAGAAAAGATAACACTCTTCAGTGATCCCCCTTCCTTACTCTGCTTAGCGTTCTGACAATCTGGAGGAGCTTTTCTATTTTGGTGGAGACAGAGGAGGGGATGGGGTTTGGAGGAAGGAAGAGCATTTCTACAGTGCTATATAGTAAAGAGGAAGCCACATCTCACCTGTTCCAGATATTAAGACAGCCACTCTTGCCTTTTTTGGTTGGGCAGTGAAATGGCTTTTCAGGGTGCCATTCTCCAATACTGATCCATTTATCTGCATGGCTTCGATTAGGTGCCTGACTTTCACACGAGGAGAACCTGCATTTCAAACATACCCAGTAAATAAAAAACTATGAATTAACAGTAATAATGAAGTATTTTATGAAAACTTTGTAATACTGTATTTTATTCTTAAATTAAAACATGTAACGACTAAAACAAATAATACATTTACATTACCTAATATTGCTCATTCATAAAGACTTTCTTAAGGTGAATGTATCACTTACTTCAATTAAAAGTGAAATAGCATATCACTGTATCTAAGCCTACAATGGATATATTACTTCCTGCTAGTGTTCTGTCCCCATCCCTCCAAATCTTCCATTCACGATAGTGCTCTGAGTGTCTGGCCTCAAGGGTAAGTGTGTGATTGAGCTGAACCACAGAAGAGAAATGAGACGAGGTCTTGCACGGGGAGATTACTTGGGATGTGATCCCAGGGAACCACAGCGAGGATCTGGGAGGAGTGATATAGGACAGCCAATGTAAGAGTGTGTTATTAAACTGGTCACCACTGTGGGCTACTGGGGCTCAATTCCATTGGGACCCTCAAAGAGGCCATGCAGACTGTGTCTCAGAATTGATCCTTTCTGTCCCTGAAGTGAATATTTATTCACTTGCTCTCACCTCATTAGGGTTGGGGCTTGTCTTATGGGGTGTAGTTGTGCATATGTGGCTACTATAGAGAGATGTCAGAGCCCTGAGGCAGAAATGAAGAGCTATGTGGTGTCACCGGCATGGGTGTTATCATGTTATGGCTGTGTAAAAGACAGGTGACATAGCAATAGCCGAAATAAAAGGTGGACGTAGAGCCCGAGAGACAGGACACATTTATATTTAAGATTATATACCTAAGAGCAACTAAATAAAGAGCAATTACCTTCAGGACATGCCACCACCCTGCCAATCACCCAAGCTTCTTCCTGGTGCTGCTGAATATCCTTCAGAATCTGCTTTGTCACGTCCTTTGATACCACGAGGGCAGCCCCAACCCCACAGTTAAATGTTCTGGCCATCTCTTCTTCAGACAGCTGTCCTTCCTGCTGTAACCACGAGAAGATCCTGGGGATCCTCCAGGTCTGGGCATCTGAAAACAGGCAAGAGTTGTCTGATTAACCTATTATCTTGCAGCAAGTATAAAGGTGTGCACACACACGAAGCTATGGAATCCACAACCAACACTGCTATTTTATATGAGGTGAAACTATAAACTGTCCTTTTAGAAGGTTTTTTGGGGATCCATTTGTACCTTAGACAATAGGAACATTTTTGTTGACACATTTGGCTGGTGTTCACAATTGAGCGAGGTTTTGTGCTGCATTAACTATTAGATTGTTAGAAAGCCCCGAATGATGAGGTGTACTAATAGCTGAATTCCAGGAAAGGTTGGTATACTATCGTTTTGTGAATGTTTAGCTATGTCTTAGCAATGACCGAAAATGCACCCTAAGTATGATGCAAAACCAGGTGGCTTACATATAGATTTAACAGAAATGCATACACTATTAAAGTCATGTTATGCAAAAGGTTTAAGATCAATGTCTTTCTGTGTTTATTTGAAAAAATTTAGATTTAGGTCTGTTTTAAGACTATATCCTCTACTATTACAAATAATACAACAAAAATCTTTAATAAAAAATTTTAGGTGAAGACATACAAATACACAATTCTTGAATAATAAAAGAATTTGGATAGTTCCTTGGAATCTACCGTTATGGGATCTGATTTACAAAAACTGTTCTAGTTAAATATTATTTATTTATGATGCTCCTATGAAAGGGAAACCACTGTGAACTTAGCTTTCTGTTACATAATAAAATTGACTATCCGTTCCCCTTATTTATTTGGTATATATGCAGGATAATTAGATCTTTAAAGCTCTAGAGTGGATATAATTTTTTTTTTAGGTGAGACAACCGTTGGTTGATCTCATAGATTGCAAAGGCCTTGTTAGTTTTCAATCCCTTATTTTTTATTTTTTACACTTACAGCACCTGGTCTTCCTACGTGGTCTCCCATCCAAGTACTAACCAGGCCCGACCCTGCTTAGCTTCCGAGATCAGACAAGACTGGGCTTTTTCAGGGTGGCATGGCCAAAGACTGAGTTGATATAATTTTTAAGAGGCATCACATGAATCTTTTATGAATCTTTTCCCCTATGAGATTTAATTCCATTTCTACTAGCTGGTAAATGTCCCTTCTTAAGAGCTGAACTCAAAAGATTTAGCTACTATGATGTCTCCTTTTCTATCAGTAATCAAAAGTCAACAGCAACATAAAACCAAATAGTGATATATCCATAAAAATGGAATATTCTTCATAAAAATGATGTCATTAGGATAGGAAGATGTTAGTGATATATAAATGGCAGCATAAGTAGCAGATTACCAAACTATGATCTCATTTTAGAAAAAAGATTTACAAAGTATTTATTTATAGAATAAAGACTGAGCCTAGTTTCTACAAATGATCAAGTATGTCATGAATAACACAAGTTGTAACTTTAATGCTGAGAGAATTCCTTTTTTAAATCTGTTGCCAAAGTATGATTCCTAGAAGAAACATCCGAGGCTGACACAAGGGACTAAATTTCCTTTTTAATGGGATACAGACATTTGTGTAACTCAAAACATATGGCTCTTAGGAATATGGCTGTATCAACTCTCAATTTCCTGATTTTTAACCAGTTGTGTGGTAGAGCCAGGTTGTAGAGGCTTTTACATACAGCCATTTAAAAACTGGCCAGGATGGCAGTATTCACACCACAGAAACTGGCAAATGCACAAATTAGCCCTGCACCATTCCCCATTCACCAACGTGCCAGTTTTTAACAATTTAAAGACGAGGATGAATACTTCCTTAAGGTTTTGTTTATGCTCTATGGAAAGCATTTCTATCCCAGGAACGTCTTTAACCACTAATTTAATCCTACATACCCTTCAGCTCAGCATTATGCTAATGAAGGGTTTCCCATTCAGCCTCTCTCTTCAGCTTCCAAGGAGAGGCTACAATCCTATTTGACCACAATGCCAGCTTACCTGGCCTGTTTCCTCACTTTTAAAACAACCTATTTCTGACTCTTCGGATTCTCATCCACAGCTACTTCGCCCCATGACTGACTCTTCTACCTGCCTGGCCCAACTGAATCAACCCAATTAATTTTTTTCTGTTCTTATTTCAAAGGTATACAAGCACTTACTTTGGGAGAAAAATTACACAACCAGATTCAACTTCACCTTCAGATATGCTTGCTGTCTCATTCTAGTTTCTGACCTTGACTGGGTTTTCATTCCTCTCCTCAAGCCTGCACTTGAGATCTGCTCATCTCACTAAGGCCATCTAACTTCACGGAAAATACGTAATTTTATGTGAATTTCAATTTCTACTCCCTCAATCCAGTGTCTATTAGTTGGCTATGATTATTGGAACAGTTTCTCTGCCTTTGTCTCTTTACCCCATAAAAATGGGGAGAGCAAAGCCTGCCCGTCCTTCACTTTGCCATGAACATGAGTTATTATCTCCCTTTTCCTTTTACCGATACATTTCTTAAGCAGCAATCTCCATTCGCTGTCTCTTTATCTCTGCCACCCATTACTCCCACGATAATCTGGTGGGTACTATCTACCTTTACCAAGCTGCTTTTTGACCCACTTCTAAAATATAGTGTTCTATTTTTGGTCTTCCTCCTAGATCTATGGAGCACTTGACACTGCTGACCAGTGACATGTTCAAATCGTTGCTTGGAGTTAATACTTTTACATGGTTTTAATTCCTGCTCTGACTGTTCTTTTTTGGTAATTCTATCTCTGCCAACCTACCACCTACCAAGGTGGATAGAACACTGAGGAACGACCTTTTGGTCCCTTCCTTTCCCTTGGCTAGAACTACTGCTTTGTGCAGATGAGCACTCAACTTTTCTTCAACCCGATTTCAACTTCTGTTCACAGACTCCATGTAATAAGCACACTGAAGATTTAAAAAATGGTATTCCCACTTCCTACTCCAAATCTACTCTTCCTCCTGTGTTACAGATGTTACCATACACTCACCTGCTTCACTAGAACCTTGAGACTTCTTTTTTCTCTAAGCACAAAATGATTCTCAAATATGTTTCCCTTTCTATGTCTTGGTTTGAATCCTCTTCATCTCCTGCAATGGACTATTAATAGCTACTTCTTCCCTTCCTGGCATGTTCCTGGTTCTATCTTGATAGAGCTTGAGATTACCAAAACCCTCAGAGGATCTGATTACAGCACTTAATCTTATGTAAGTCAATTATATCAAAAGATTTTATGCTTTGTAAACATGGCTAATAAAGCAAAAAGAGGTCGAAAAGGGTCAGCCCTATTTTTTCCCCAAGAAACCCAATGATGAGGCTTTTCCATGTATCATATATGCATTCACTACCCATATTGTTTTGCCCCCTAATGTATTTTTTCTCCTAACGGTTTTCTGAGCAAAATTTCCTTTTAGCGAGCTTACCTAAATCCACCGCAAATTTCTGAGGGAGGACTCTGGGGATGTTTTCTAGCAATCCTCCACCAGTAATGTGGGCAAAGGCCTTGACGTGTCCTGAACGTAATACAGGTAAGAGTGAATGGCTGTAGATTCTGGTTGGAGTTAGAAGCAAGTCTCCTGTATATTGGAGAAATAAAGACAAAAACTTAGCCTATGAACATAAAACTGAAGCATATAAAAACAACAAAACTGAAGCAGAGAATGACTGTGACCCTATACAGACACACCAGTTCTATAATAATGTCCAAAGAACAAAAACCACAGGATAATGTAATTTATTCCACTTTAACTCTAAGTAACTAGAGACTAACCCCACGAAGTAGCTGCTCAGACATTTCCAAGCGGGAGAGTTTAAAAAGTGAGTGCATTTACCTAATGTCTGGTCACCGCAGCCATCGGGTGCTGGGGAGGAGTACTGAAGGGAAGATTTCGCTACAATTTTCCTCACGAGGCTAAACCCATTGCTGTGAAGACCAGATGAAGCTATTCCAATGACAACATCCCCTTCGGCGATTCTTTCCAGATGAGGGAGTTTCTGATGCCGCTCCATGGCACCGACGGCAAAACCGGCTAGGTCATACTCTCCTGGAGTATACATGTCAGGCATTTCTGCTGTTTCGCCACCTGGCAGGAAGACAGAACAAGAGCTAAGAAATCGTATTTATAAACCTGTAGTGACACCAGCTACAATTAAACATGTGGCTATATCATGCAAACATCAATAAAATGTACTCTACTAGCTGCCTAAGAGAACTTTTAACCATAATTTCAGGGGAGAGAGCACTAAATTTGACAAAGGGTGAGTGTAGCCTCCAAATGTCATTACTTTCACAGGGTGAATACTCAGCAGAATACTACATCATTTTTGTACTTTTACCTATGTTTGATCTTCACAATCACTGTGTTCCAGATGATGGTACAGGCTTACAGTAGTGATTTAATCAGCCTGCCTAACTCCAAATGCCTTATCTAAAAAGTCCGCTATAGTTGACTTTACAATAATATTTGTACAAAGAGTTTAGGCAGGTAGACTCCAAATTAGAAAATGTTCTAAAAAATGGCTGAAAAGGCCACTGGAACAGACTTGTCCACAGAAACAGTAATATAAAAGAGGTAGTTTTGGTCCCTGGTCAACCTACAAATTCATTTTGCTCAAATTTCTTATATATTGAAGCAATGTTTTCTAAAAAGTGACATTTTTAGTGTCACTTTTATGGGAAAATAAAGATTTAGAATGCCAAGAACTCATCTGCTTCTGCTGTAGGGGCAGTAAGGAGGTAATAAACCCTACCCCGTCTGTCCATGAGGCCACTGAGAAAGTGGCCCCATCTTTAACCACCATTTCTGTAGCTAAAGATGGAGAAGAAATGGTGGCTAAAGATGGGGAAGAAAGATAAGGCCTGGCTGACAGTATAGGACTATGAGTCTGGGGAACAAACCCTTGACGGGTTTGAGGATACCAGGGTCTTCAAGTAGTGTTATCTCTATTTTCTTGTGATATAGTTTCTTGTTAGCTGCACATAGGGCTAAAACACAGTAAAAAAGACATGCAATCAGTACCAAGGAGAGCACATCCAGCTTTTCCACAGGCTTTAGCAATTCCAGCAACAACTGCTTCAGTTGTATCGAGGTCAAGTTTTCCACAGGCAAAGTAATCAAGGAAGAAGAGGGGCTCTGCTCCTTGTGCCAGAATATCATTTACACACATTGCAACCAAATCCTGACCAATGGTATCATGTTTATTGCACTGCTGGGCAATCTACAGAAGAGAAACATAAAATGTCCACATGAAATTAAATCCCAAATTAGATCAATTTATTAGTGGAGGCTAACGAATATGGGCTTTTGGCTAGCTGCTATGAACACCTCAAGACAAAAGAACACTAAATTCTGATAAGCCACTTGGTCCAAAAGTATCCTCTTTTATCCTCTAAAATAACCCTTCCATCCAGATATAGCCTCAATAATACTGCATTGTTAGAAACATGTAGATATTTTAGTCATATCATATAGTTATTTGGTATGGTTCTCTTTAGCGCTTATACGTCAAAAGGGGGAAAATATGTATTTGATATACAGTAAATTCTCTCTTATCTTTCACAAAAGGCCTTTATTCACAAAGGTGTCTTATTACCTTCAGTTTTGTTCCAACACCATCTGTTCCACAGGCCAAAAGAGGATCTTTGAAACCAGCTGCTTTCAAATCAAAAAGACCAGCAAAACCTCCAAGATCAACATCACAGCCTGTTGGAGAGGAAATTAATTATTTTCTGCATACCAACAGATCAGATAAACATGAGTATACAAAATATTTCTTCCAAAGATGCCTTTTCAGAGAATGGAAGAGAGAGTACCACATGCTTAAATCATTGATCATGAAAGTAATTAAATATTTAAGAGGCAGACATATTCTTTTGAATTTAACAAATAAATGCTTTTCTTAATAATAGAGATAAGAATGCAGAAGACTGTGGGTTTGGCTAAAATAGGGCATGACTGACATTAATTTGGAACATTTTCCTTTGTAAACTATAAAGCCCAAATCAATTCACGTTTGTCAGTTAATGAACTAGCAAAGGATAGGATCTGACTCACCTGGTCTAGAGGTGGCTTTTGCTAAATGTTTAATTTTCCTGACCAGCATATTTCCAGCTGCAATGTCTACCCCAGATTCCTTATAAGTCAGGCCCCTGAAGAATTAAATACAAACAAACAAACAAAAAATAGGACATCACCTAAATATCAGGGAAAATCGTTTTAACCTTAAAATTTTACTTAAAGCAGGATACATTGCTAGTGATTTTCATATCCCTGAATATGTTGGGCCGCCTCCATAGATTTTGATATAACTGGTCTGGGGCTGGACTTGGAAATTGAAATGTGTTTAAACAACCTCTCCAGTTAATTTGATTGTATCATCACTACTGAGAACTACTTCTCTAAATTTTTCCATATTTCTCACAGGTAGTTAAAATATACTGATATCTTACCAAACTTTTCTGTTCAATTTTGTTATGGAAAGAAGTGTAGAAAACTAAGTCAAAAAAGTAAACATTAGGATTGTAAGAACTCTACAAAAAAGCTCTAAATTATTGCAACAATAGAGAAATGTAACAGATTCTTTATAACTGAAGATAGTAAGAAACAAGATTGAAAAAAACTATGAAAAAAGCAAAACAGATAATGGTATTCAGTGCATCATTTCCTTCTATGTAGGGCCAACGCATTGGAGCAGTACATTTAGAGGTCAAGTTCATGAAAGACACTGTGAATTCAGTAGTCTTACCATACAAAAATGAGAATTTTGGCCTAGTAGGATGCAGTGATACATGAAGAAATATGCAAATTTTATTAGAAACAAGATGCCAAATAGATCTGAGAGCTCTGGCAGTTAACCCCAATAAAGTTAGCAGTCCAGGGTCATGCTCAGATAGAAAACAAAGTTACTGGTTTAAAAAACCTTTTTTAAGGTAGCAGCTAGCATGGCGACCTCTCACTTTCATCTTTAAAGAACTCAACCAGTATTAGGATTGCAGGCCCTTGAAATAGGTCATTTCAATGAAGTCTAGTCATTTTAAAATAAAAAAATAAGATTTTAGCACAGCATTTTAATGTTTTTTTCCTAAGTAAATGCCAATATTTAAACTTTAAAAATTTGCCTATCAGTAGCAGCACAACTTGAAGTTGCTAAAAATTAATTTTATCCTAAAACTTATTTTTCATAGATGAACTCAACAAACAATAACTGTAGTATATACTAAAGGAATCAGAACACCCAGACTTGCAATTAATAGTTTATTGATTTTACAAAGGAATAGTTGTACCTGTCAATATATGAATCAATAAGGGGACAAAAATACATTTCAGTAATAGATATAAATGCAGTGACAAAAGACTGTCAAAATTTGCAGTATATGACCAATTAAGTTGCAAATGTAGACGACTAATATTTTCATTTTGAATTCTTTGACAAAACCAGGAACTAAAGATGTAAGTATAACAGTAATATTTAGACAGATGATAAGTCAAGGAATAAAAGTCCTTTACCCCAACTTTATTGATGAGTAATTTTTGACAAATGATTGTATATATTTAAATTGTATAATGTAAAAAAAATTCTTAATATCACTGTGATTTTACTAAACTTTTCAAATATAAGGGGCTACCATGAAGTTTTCATTTAAATACTTTAACTGGTTTTGATTCAAGCTAAATGCAAATCAAAATCAGTTCCACAGAGAGAAAGAATATAGAATGGCCTAGTATAGGATTGATGGAATTTTCTACATAGTATACATGTCAGTTTTGAAAGTGTGTTATAATGACCTTGGTAAGAAATTTACCTGGGCTGCTGAAGGAAAGCTATGGCACGATAGCCGATGTCCCTTCTGTAAATGGCTCCCTCAAACTTTATAGCAGCTAGTCCTTTCTTGGCTTCTTCAAGGGCTGAGATGAGATTTTCCTGGATGGCTGTTACTGTAAGGACTCTACCACCATTAGTCACCACTTTGCCATCTTTTAGGGCAGTACCTGCTTGGAACACCTCCAGTCCCAAAGCCTGAGCCTCAGAAAACCCTGTAAGATAGCATATTTGACATATTGTTTGTGATAACAATATTCTACACTTGTGAAGTGGTTTGTAATTTCCCAAAGATTTTTTTTTTTTTAATAAAATCTTTATTTCACTTAAATGAATCTTTACAAGAACCCTATGGGGAAGGAATTAATGAAAGATAATAGTAAACAGATTCTTTCTCCTAAGAAGAGTCTGTTCTGCTCTAGGGTGATAACCGTATTTCTAAAACCTTGTTATCATAAACCTCATGTGAGATCTATTGTTTCTCAATGAGGGAGGAAAAAAAAGCTAAGCCCTGAAAAGTTTGAGATTTAAAAGTAAAATGTTATTTTTCCCCGATGAAAAGATAAAAACCTAGAAGTCAACAAATAATCCTGACTTTGATCACATATTTTAGTTAAGAGTAAAGGAATTTCTATTTTATCATAGCTATCCAAGTGGCTTTTTCTTTTTGAAATAACCAATAGGATCATCGCATTGTAAAACATATTTTTAATCTTTCCTCTAATAGAATTGTAAAATTTCAAGACAAATTTGATTTAAATTAGGTTTCATACTCAGTCTAAAATTCCTGTCTTCATTTTCTTTTGAATTATTTTTAAATCTCTCCTTTATAATTTTACACTTAAAATATTATTAGACTGTATGTTCTAAATTCTAAAATGATAAACAGAGTCTATACAAAGATATAATCTCTTAGTTTTTAAAGAAACAATTCTTAAATCCCCATTTTTTTTTTCTGTCTTCGTTTTTCTTTTAGCATCACATATAATGTGTTAATATATGCCTTCTCTGTGTTTTTATAACATAAGAGCATTCACTTGTAGGTACCCAAATACCCGCTGGTATTGGTAATATCCAATATTGCTATGTCAGAAATGAATATCATACTTGTCAGCTTAACCTTAAGAGATATTTCAACATTACAAGGGATCTTGATTCGATCCTTTCTCTTTCTTTGTTCATTTTAAAAGACAACTGATTCCTAATTGCCCAGTTGCAATGTGTGAGATTCACTAAGCAATGGGCTTTTGTCTGGGCAGTAAATAGGGTGTTTGATTCAAACACATTACTGGGGTACTGAGGGAGGCCAAGCTATAGCCTGCTAGGGATCAACTAGGTTTGCCTTTGGGCTCATTGCACTGGAACTTAATTGGCATTTTATAACAGTTTTATTTAACTGGATGCCTCACCTCTTGTAAAGAGAAACAAAAGAGAAGACTATACTTTTGAAAGCTTGAATTCTGCAATCCAAGTTGAAACTGGGGGTGGGGACTGTCCGTTTGTGATCACATCTTTGACATTTATCTCATTAATGTAGTTTAAGCTAATGTTCTCTAACTCTCATAAAGATCCATTATGTTCCTGGCTCTTGGCCAGGCCCACTTCAGTCTTTCTTGTGCAGAAAGGGAAATGGATGGCAGTTCTTTAAATATAATAATTTTGGACATTTGAACATGATTATGTTAAGACCCCTTGAAAGGTTTCTGCTGGTTTTATACCCGTAAGAGGAGCAGAGCATGGCATGGGAGGGAGGCCTACAGTGACACTAGTTACCTGTCACATGGTAAGTCAACCTTTTGTTCTCTAATATTCACCTGTTATCTCCACACCCTTGGTGTAGTCTCCTGGATAACCTTTACTTGCCATGACAATAGTTATAGCAGTGTGATTTTCAAGCCAAACAGGCAGAGAGGTACACAGCAGGCCATCTAAGGTAGACTGAATCACTTCATAAAGATCAGTTTTAAGAAGTGGGAGGATGACCTGGAAAAACATAATCAACATGGCAATTAAGAGAAATTTTAGTTTTCCTTAGACATTTTATTCATGGGAATACCAGCAAAATTTCCATAAATGGTTGTCCCATGAACAATGCGGGGGTAGGGGCACTGACACACTGTGCAGTCAAAAATCCATGTATAACTTCTGACTCCCCCAAAACTAAACTACAGTCATCCATTGGTATCCATCGAGGATTGGTTCCAGGTGCCAATACCAAAATCCACTGATGCTCAAAACTCTTACATAAAATGGCACAGAACAATGTATACAGTGGCCCTCCGAATCCGTGGATTCCCAACCACCAATTCACCATTGGTTGAATTAAAGGATGAGAACCCAGGGATATGGAGGGCTGACTGTAAATTTATTGAAAAAACAAAAACCAGTGTATAAGTGGACCCACATAGTTTAAAAAAGTGTTGTTCAACGATCAACTATATTTCTCAAAGATAATTATTACAAAGTTGATAAATCCTGAGATTAAAACAATATACATCTTCTACAAGGTATCTACGAAATAATACTTTATCTATAATTATCACCCACTTGGCACTCTGGATCACCGAAACGGCAATTAAACTCCAGAACTCTTGGGCCATCCTTAGTCAGCATTATACCAGCATAGAGAACACCTTCATTAAAAAATAAAAAACAAAAAAAACTATAATAAAGACATTGTATTGTGACTATGAAAATTAGAACATAAATTTCTAATACTTAAAGTTTTGGAACAGCCACAACAAATATTACAATGGTCAATTAATAGGTAGTGAAAAAAGAGAAAATGGAGAAGTTCTATCAAAAGTGTAAAGTTACTCCATGAATAATGTGAATAATGCCCACAATGACACTGATGTGCTCACCTGTGTATGGCGTACCCTCTTGCTGCATGCCATCCACTGTCCTCTGAAGAATGATATTTTTAATTTTTAGCAACAAATCCTTAGAAACCTGGGGGAACATAACAGAAATATGTAAATATAATTGGTATTTGAAAAAATCATCTTGTAAGTAGTACTACATGGGACAATGATAGGGGACAAGGAAAACAATCACTTATTTTCTACCTGATATGGGCTGAGCACTTGAATAAACTTTCTAAATCCTCGCATTGGCCCTATCAAGTAGGTATTTAGTCTTATTCTTATAAAATAAGAAAGACAATCTCTGGGAGTTAAAAATTACCATAAACAGAAATTGGGAGTTATTGATCAGCAACAACTGCCATTTCTTGACTCTTAAATCACCTTTTACAAATAGATTTTCAAATATACATGCTTAAAGCTCACTAAAAAGTTTCCTGAAACATAATAATAAAGATGAAAAAGTCCTCTCTTATTGAGGCTCCTTTGTATTCTTCTCATATATTCTATAGATTTCATAAGCCTATAAACTTAAGAATCTGAGATTATAAACTTCATATAAATTAGATCTAGAGATAGTTCTAATATTGCAATCACTTTACCAAATGGTAGTTGTAATACTTACAAAGTCTCAAGTATCTGAAAAAATCTAAAATACTAATTCGAAAAGTTACATGTATCCCTATGTTCATTGCAGCATTATTTTAAAAAGCCAAGAAATGGAAGCAGTCTAAGTGCCCATCAATATAGATGTGGTACATATATATAACAGAATATTACTCGGCCATAAAAAAGAACAAAATCTTACCATTTGTGACAACATGGATGGGCCTAGAGGGTATTATGTTAAGTGAAATAAGTCAGACAGAGAAAGACAAATACCATATAATTTCATTTAATGTGGAATCTAAAAACAAAATAAGTGAACAAAACAAACTCATAGATATAGAGAACAAACTGTTGGTTACCAGATGGGAGGGGACTTGAGGGCTGGATGGAAAAGGTGAAGGGATTAAGAAATACAAATTTTTAGTTACAAACAGTCACGTGGCTGTAAAGCACAGTATAGGAAATATAGACAATATTTTAATAACTATGTATGGTGTCAGGTGGTACCAGACTTACGGGGGATTTATATAGAAAGTTATATAAATATCAAACCACTAAGCTGTATACCTGAAACTAATATAATACTGAATGTCAACTGTAATTGAAAAATTAAAAAAAAAATTTAAACATTAAAAAAGTAAATCCTATTTGGTTTTTAATAAAAAAAAAATATATAAAAGGCACTATATTATTAGCACAAAAGACTGACTATTATCAGTGAAAAGAATGGATGAGTTTCTAAGGTGCTAATCTATTTATAATACATTCAATGCAGATTTCTTATAAAAACTGTCCAGAACCTGTTTGGAAACATATTTTATCTACCCATTATCAAGTCGAAAGACTAAAAGAAAAAACTATGGTCTGATTGAGTTCTCAATTCACTGAGCACTTATGTGCTGCGTTCTGGATATCCAAAGATGAATGAAAGATAATTCTAGACTGTAATTGGCTCCCACAGGTTAAAAACAGGGTATAGAGGGAAGGGACCAATCTATACTTGACTTAGGTTCAATCTATACTTGACTTAGTTCTCCAAAGGCATTTTAGAATAAGTTAGGTCTAGAGACTAGGAGAGATACTTTTCATTTAATAGGAAAAGCAAATTGCTGATCAGAAATCATTTACAAGGGAAAAAACCAAACAAACCAGAAAAGTACTGTCTAAGAGCTCTTTGAGAAGACAAAACAATTACTAGTGAACTTCAGCTGAGCCTTTGGTAAGTACCTGAGGTACTGGGCAATAGGCTCCCATTCCCCCGGTGTTGGGGCCGTGATCTCCTTCTAGCAATCGCTTATGGTCCTGTGCTGGGGGCATGGGGGCCACAGTCCTTCCATCAGTGAAGCACAGACACTGTATAGAAAACAAAACAGTCCACTTACCTTAAATGTCAAAAAGTAAAAATAAAATTATTTAATAAGGAGAACTATATGTATCTTAACTCTTCTTAAGGGAATTTTTTTTTTAAGTAAAATGAGATAATAACCCTAAGCTACCTACATCAAGAATCAGATCTTGTATATTTAACTTCTGAAGGATCTGTAATTTCTGAGTAAGGTTAGGGGTAAAAAAATCAATCTTCTCTTAAAGTAAAATATTTCAACCTTTCCCCCTTTTAAATAATGTGATATAAATTCAAGTTCCTTACTGAGACACTGGGGATGATTAAAAGAGAATAAAATTTGTTTTCATTTGTATCCCAAATACTAAATGTATACAAATTTCTTTCTAACTGCTGGGTTTATGCCTTCAGATGAAACAACCAGAGTAAACCAAATCTTTTTGGGGCTCATAGGTCAGACAACATAGCTTCTTATAGTCTATAAAAGCCTGAAAGATGAATACACTTACAGACACTTCTTCTCCTTCAAGAAGTTCTTCAATGATAACTGTTTCTCCAGCTGCTCCAAAAGCTTTATCCTATTGTAGATTAAAAAAAAAAAAAAAAAAAGGTACATTGTAAGCTTTTAATATTTACTTACTTGGCTGTTATTTTCTACTATTTGTATTATGGATCAATACACTATTGTAATTTTCCTTTCCTTTTCTGAAAGCCTCAAAGAATGTATAAATGTTTCCTATAGTTAAATTGACAATGACAGAGAGCTAGCAGTGGTACCAATGAGATGACAGCATCACTAACATCCTCCTAGGGATTACGCTTTCCAGTTTCAAATAAGGTTAACGGAAAAACATGTTTTTATCATCATTAATTATTATTTCTGATTAAAATTATATGTTTGTCTATAATAATTATACTAAATAATGTCTGTGAAAGTAGATTTCTACAAGGAAGGGAAACCCACAACAACCAAGAAGGATAATAAAAGTATATTAATTCATTGCTTCACTTCTCTGAGACAAGGGACACAAAGGACAAATAATTCTGTCCTTATGGATGGTAATTTATTTTTATGATCTATAGTCTCAAGATTTTCTACCTTTCAGCAGCTAACAACAAAGGATGCTAGAACTTGCTTCCAAAGAAGAGTCATGGTTTAGCCATCGGTGTAAATCTGTAATAACTCTTAAAAAATAGGCTGTAATACATATTATAAAAAGTAACTTACTTGTGTGTTTGCTAGATGTTTCCTTATCTTGAGGAACATTTTGTAAACTTAAGAGTATTTATCCATTATGACTAGGAAATTATGAACTTTTCCACAGGAATCAACCTACCTGCATGATCTCCTGTACAGCTTTGCAGGCCTCTTCTTTGCTCTTTGCAACAATCACCCCTTTCCCAGCTGCAAGACCACTGGCCTTCACAACCAAAGCAGGGAAGCTGGCACTGTGAAGACAGAATCATCTTCAATATAAACCCTTATGATTAAAAAATTTGAAGTGATTTGAGATTTTATAATGATATACTATAGTGACAAGTGAAAAGCAGAAAGAAAAATTAAATGATCAGAGTGACATCATTGATGTACTTCCTATCAGGATTATTTTCCCTATACCGCACATATAATATTGTTATACCGCACATAATATTTTCCTTTTTTTAATTATTATGAGATCATATTGGCAAAATCATTGGAAGAAGAAAGCAGTTGTATAGTGCAGGTATAGACTGATCTCTAAGATAAAAAGTAGTGAATTGTACTCTCATTCAAGTAGAAGATGTGGCTGTGTAAAAATATAAACATGGATACACAGAGCATTTCTCCAAGTACACATAAGAAACTGCTGTTAGTAATTTATTTGTTGAGTGGCACTGGAGATCTAAATGGAGACTTACCCAAAGTAACATAATTGTTACTGATCTAAGGCAGCTGGCTACTAGAAAATAATAATATTCATTGTTTAAGAAACTCTGTAGGACTTAGAATGAATAAAGAATGAAATCAACTCGACTTAAAGGAAAACATATCAAGTCCCAGGGAGAAGTGCAAACAAAAAAGGGCAAAGTCGTGTGTCTGCCAGCATTCATTAATTGCTCAATATTTTCCATATAATAGAGAACAAGGATGTTTAATTTTAAGATTTACAGTTTAGTAGCAGCAGAAGGCCAAGTGCTAATTCCTCATTTCGATTACTTATGAAAAAAAATCAACGTCCTTTACATTATGAGATGCCACTGTGTCTGTCAATTTGACTGTAACAATAGTGCATAACTCAAAACCAAATGTATCTTTTACCCCCGAAATTATTCGGTTATATTAAAAAATTCATCTTTCTGCAAAAACAGATTACATTATATATGCGCAGAATCCTGTTTTATTTTGACGTTGGAAAAAGGCAACTGACATAGAATAAGTTTTCTTCCCCCAATTATCTTACGATAAACTTGTGACATAAATGACCTGTATATTTAACTATCATAACAAAACAAGTGCCTTTTTACAGTCAGTCTTCTATCTACCTCATAATGAAGCTGCAGGCCTCTTCAGGTTTGGTGAAAGCTCTCCATTGTGCAGTTGGGATTCCATGTCGATCCATAAACTCCTTGGCAAATCTTTTGCTGGACTCTAACTGAGCCGCTTCTGCTGTGGGGCCAAAGCATCGCACTCCTGCAGATGTCAGGTTCCCAACAATTCCTATGGAGGGAAACAAGCAGCCTCAGGTGAGCCAAGGCCTCTGCAGTACTGGTCCATGGCCTGTTAGGTGAGCAGCAGGCGAGTGAGCGAAGCTTTATCTGTATTTGTGGCTGCTCACCAGCACTAGCATCGCCGCCTCAGCTCCACTTCAGATCATCGGGCATTAGAGTCTCAAAGGAGCATTGGTTTCTGGTGCCATAAAGGCTGGGGACTATACATGTGAACAAAAATGCTAATAACACACGATTCAAATCCAGCAAAAGTTATTTGTTATATTTAGGTATATGAATTATTAAATAGACACCAGCATAGAGAAGAATAAAAACACATTATTTGTTCCCCACTCTGAGCCACTTCTGTGGGGCCAGTTTTGATCTCTCATTCATCACATTACTGATGCTTGAAGACAAAAATCTAGAATCCATAATTTCAAGAGGGTGAAAGCTTTTTCCAATATAATATTACATTAAAAATCCTCATCTCTAAAATGAACTGGATTAGATGATTTCCAAACTCTTCTGGCACTGGATATACTGTAACAATAAACAGAAAAGAACTTTACCAGCAGCCAGAGGTGCCTCTGGTCCAACAACTACAAATTCAATTTCCTCATCTTTGCAGAATTGAGCAAGGGCGCTGTGATCACTGATGGAGATGGCTGTGAACAGAAAAAAGAAACAAACCCACCTTACAAAAACATTCATTTTTTTAAGTTAACTAAGCGTCATACTGAAAACTAAATACTATTCTTTATTATGTCTACTAACTTGTTTTCTTTTACTGGTACAGGTGAGTTTCATCATAAGTAAGTCAGAGCAGAGTGCATTAGGTTGACCAACAAAGCTCAGTTCTCTGCTATCACTGTAGCCAGTTAGATGAAAACACCAGTAAGCTTCTCAAAAAGCTATAAAGTACCTCTTGACTATGGTGTTCCTGTCACTGGTGCTGACTTATAGTCAACAAAAATGTATCACAGAATATAATTAGAAACTGGTCTTTTACTATCATTCTTTTAAGATTTACTGAGAACCATTATGTGCTAGATATGGCCTTAGTAACTGGGTTAAGATTTTAACACCAACAGGGGTCCTACATTTAGGAGGCTTATATTCCATGGTGGGAATGTTGGGTAAAAAAGAAATAAGGAAAAAAATAACAATTGTGAACAAATTATGCAAATTTGCTATGAGGTGAACTGGGAAGCTATTTCTGGTTGAGTCAGAAAAAGTCTCTGTGCAGAGATGTTTAAGCTAAAAACTAAATGATTTTAAGACCTTGCCCACTTCTCCAAACTACAAGCCAGGTAAATTTTCTTTGATGGAGTTCTAAGTAACTAAGAGTAGGATCAATTATAAACTAAGCATGGGTTGGTTCTATAGGTGCGCTCCTGCTTCACTGTATCTGCATCAGCATTCCTGTTAGCTGAAGTTTCCAATTACTTTGCACATATACGATTATTGGTGATGTGTAGAGGATAATTGCAGAAAGGATAGTTTTCAATCTCCAGGAACTGCCTGAGTGGGGTAAGGATGGAGTGCCATGTACTGTGGGTTAGTAGCTACAAACATAACTGGCCTGAGCAGAGCCAACTACTTCAGCACAGCAGAGGGTGGCGAGAGGAAGAAGACACACCTAACTTGTCTCTGCAAGTGGTAGCTGCTTCATGATAATCCCAGGAAATTTTCATGGGCTGGCGGCTGCATGACATCAATTGCTTCTAGATAAAATGTGCCAGCTCTTCAATAAACAGATAAATATCTCACCCCCTGAGCTATGATTCCAGGGAAGCAGATATTTTCTTATCTTGTTATTATTCTCATTTTTGGTGTTCTTATTTTTGTTATTATTCTCCCAGTTGGTGGCCTGTTGGGTGATGTTTTTCTCTCCATTACATGCAATAAGCCACATAGGGTACTAGGCATGGTGAACACAATGCAAAATGAGGCAACTGAATTCCTCGCCCTCAAGTAGCTTACATTCTAAAGCTTATGTTCTGCGGGGGGAAATGAAGATAGGAAACAGACAATAGAAAAGTAAAAATAAATACAGATAATGAATGGTTCATAATTGAAAACAAACAAAATGAGGTAGACATGTTTTACTAGAAACTTCAGGAAAGACATCTTTGAGGAGGTAACATATAAGTTGAAATCTGAAATAAGGAAGAGACAGTCATGCTAGGGGTGGGAACAGGTATAAAGTCCAAGGCAGCTCTGTTTGGAAAGTTGGCAGAGCTGTACAGGTAGAGCACAGTGAAAAAAAAACAAAAGATATAAAAGATCAGACTGAAGAGGCAGTCAGAGGCCAGATCACAAAGGGTTTTGTAAGGAACATTAAGGAGTCTGAGTTTTATTCTAAGTACTATGGGAAGCCACTGAAGAATTTAACGTAGCATAAGAACTGATAATTTTTTTCATTTTTACCAGTTGAAGGGATAAAGGGTGAGATCTATTATGAAGTTAGACTTGTCAAAACTTACATCTAATAGCACTGCTCAACTTTTCATGTCTAAAAATACACATTAAAATGTTTTTAACCTATATTAGGCACTTGTGACTTTTTGAATAGATGTGTTTTATAAAGTTTAAAATAATTTAAAATAAGGAAATGCTATACTTGAACCTGAGCATACCTTAAACTTATGATATATGGCAAGTATTCAATTTACCACATAAATTTTAAGGTTAAGAAAAGCATTCAAATCTGAATAGTAACTGACCTTATAAAGAACAGAGATAGTTGACAGTTTATTATTTATACTTATTAACCATCACTCCCCACTTAAAAACATGATTACCAGCATTTGAAATCTTTTCAGAGCAGGCAGTGCCTGCATTTCCTGGGGCAACCAACACCTGTTTAACATGATCAGACTGTGCAAGTTTCCAAGCCAGTGTATGTTCTCTTCCTCCATTGCCAATTACAAGTACTCGGGCTGCCATTGCTGTCTGCAAACCAGGAATTCAAAAAGAAAAAGAAAGCTGCAGAAAGAAAACCAAAGTTCATATCTCAGAATGCATATACTTTAGAAATCACAATTTCTAAACATGTATTCTAATGATTCACTTGTGAAAAATTAGAATTTGTAATTTGAATTCATAACTGTACTCATGTAGACTAGGGAGGTCTTTTAAAAATGAGGCAGACTGGTCTAAAGAGCTAGGTTAAGGAATGAAATGGCGACTTAACTCTTAATTTGATTAAAAAAAATATCTCTTATGAATAATCATTCTTCGGGCTTTTAGAGGATATAATAATCATGAAGCCTGTTAAAAATGAATGTTTTAAATCTACACCAGAATTTAAAATGTTTTTAAATCCTGAGATTTTACAGATTTTAAAGTTATTATGAAGTGAAAGAAATATTTAACACAGACCTATAAAGGGCCAGATAAATATTTTCACCTTTGAGAGCTATAGTCTATGTCGCAACTACTGAACTCTGCTGTTGGAGCATGAAAATAGCCATGACAACACATAAGTAAATGTACGTGGCCATGTCTAGTAACGACTTACGAAAACAGGTGGTAGGCTGTCAGTAATAGTTTTCCTATCTCTGCTCTAAACACCAGAAAGCAATCAGAGGATTGTAAAGAATAAGGACGGTGTGTTTCAATAAAACTATTTTTGCACACTGCAATGTGAATTTTATAATTTTCATGTGTCGTAAAAACATCGTTCCCCACCCCCCTTTTAATAATGTAAAAACGATTCTTATTTGGTGGGCTGTACAAAAACTGGTGGCAGGAAGGACTGGCACAAGGGCCAGTTTGCTGACCTCTGATTTAAGTAGTGCAATATGTTAAAAAATTGACAAGGCGGCAAAAATCAAATCTGAACATGTATCACATTAATTCTAGCATTCGATGATGAGCAGGATGGGTGCAACAGCTATCTTGCAACTGAAGTTAGCAGTGTGACCCTGGGAAAGCTCTTACTACTTGTAATTCAATTTATTCACATCTTAAAAGATGAAAGAAAACCTGCTTTACAAAGCTGCTTAAAGATGAACTGAAATTACATTTATATAAACAATTAGTATGATTTCTGACATTCAGCAGCAGTACTTGTTATATTTTATTCCATACTTTTACCTAAATTGATACCTTAGGGATAGAAAGAAGTTCTAAGAGAAAAAAAAAGAGTCAAAGTTATGAATAATTTGTCACATTTACTAATTTTCAGAAGACAATTATGTAGAAAGCAAACTGAAAACAAGAAACACTGAAATCTGTAACTTCTTGTGAGATGTTAGGATTAGATTACATTTAAATAAAAAGTCTAGGCTGATATTAAAAACTAACACTTTTTGAGCACTTTGTGCCAAATGCCATATTCTAAATGCTTTTCATGAATTATCTTAAACTTCATGGTTCTATGAGGTAGATAATATTCCCATCCCCACCTTATGGATAGGAAACTGAAGTAGTTAAGTAACTTGCTGGAGGTCACAGAGCTAAGAGGGGGTGGAGCATGGATTGCAATGGAAGCAATTTTGCATCAGATACTGTAAAAATTGAGATGGTGATCATGGAAAAATTGAGAAAATCACTAAATTATCCTCTAAGTAGAAGAGGATAATGGAAAACAGATTTGCCATGCATATTGAAATATCTGAAACAAAGCTTTACATCTAAAATGTTACATTAAGTTTGATAAAAAGAGAAGAGAAGACTCAGCCTGAAGGAATCTACACTGGAAGTGGTTAGGTCTCCGCTCCAGTCAGAGTGCTCTGGTTTGGGATGAGACTCTGTCCCTTACCAGCTGGGATACCTTAAGGGATTTCATTAACCTTCTGGGGCCAGTCATCTAAATGACTAACATGACAAGATGAAGAAAGCCAGGTAAGGCCTAGATTTCAACTGATTTGATGAGTACTATTAAAAAGAATTACAAAAGTGGACTAATCTGCGCTAGAAACGATGGGTGCATAACAAGACAATATGCAACTTATGTTTATAACCTAAAAACATGCATAAAGATACAAATAAGCCCTGAATTTTAGAAAGCAGGGAAAGTGATAGATCCAAGGTGAACCTCAAAGTGAAGAGCACATGGCCAATCCCCACTGACAGCATTTAAAAATGAGGTGAAAACTCCTACAGCCAAACTAAGTCCTACGATTTCATTCAATTCCTGATATTAGAGCCCCAAACTAAAGCATAAATGCACTTCACTTAAAAGCGGAGGGCTTACGCACCGACACAATGCCGACAAAATGCAGTCTGGCCGCTCGAACTCGCACGCTCACCTGCGCGCTCCGAGCTCGGGCACCCGCCGCGCGCCGGAAGTCAACGGAGCGGGATCCGGGGCGCGCACCCACCCCCGCCCCCGGCGGTCCGCCCCGCGGAGGGCTTCGCCTCCCCATTGGTCGGCGCAAACTCTGGTCCCCGCCGTGAGGTAATCAAGTGTGATTCCCTCCCGCTCTGGGGCGCGGCCTGAGCCCCCCTTAGGGCAAAGCTGCCTAGCCCTTGCGCATCCATCATGTAACATCATAGCAGCAGAGGCCACTTAACGCCCCTCTTCCTCTTCGAGAGCCCCCGAGCTGGGGCGGGGGGGGCTAAACGCTAAATCCACATTTAACTAATTGTGTGGAGTCAAAACGAAGCAGCTAGTGGAAAAATCTTGTGACACACCTGGCTCATGACTAGAATGCACCAGGCTTGGACGTAGGTCGCTCAAGACCTCTCGCCTATAAATTATAGGATGTCATGGGAGATGGGGGTAAAAATCGCGTTCTTCGTATTCGCATCACAGTGGGAGCGGGTGCCGATTAATGCTTTTCCGGATGCAGCTCCCTGCTGAAAATTGGGGAATGTTGGCGGCCCCGTGTCAAACACCATGTTGCCTTTTTTGCTCCCTCTCCTCATAGCATTCGATCTCCCCATTTAGTGGCTACAGTAAGCCTATTAACCCCCCCAAACACTGTTGGGGACTGACAACACAAGCTGACAAAGTCGCCTGAAGAGAGTCTTCTCCTGTAATGGCGCCTGCGTCAGTCACTAACATGGCGGACAGAGTCGTGCGCGGCGCAAACGTCAGCAGCTCTACCCCAGCCGCTCAGAAACAGCGGAGGAGAGCAGGGCCGTGCTCACTGATTGGTGCAACGGCCGAGCGTGCAGATCCGGACGTTCCCACAGGAGCCAATCAGGACGGCGAGAGACGGAATTGGCCGCTGCGCCTCTTCCCGAGGCATTCTGGGAGCCTGGAGGACTAGCGAGGAGGAGTTGAGAGAACGGAGCGGACGCCATGGCGACCAACATCGAGCAGATTTTTAGGTCTTTCGTGGTCAGTAAATTCCGGGAAATTCAACAGGAACTTTCCAGGTAGGCGCTTCACAGACTCTTCTGCTCCCAAGGGATCGATAGGGTCTCAAGTAGCCCTCTATAGCACCTTTATTCAGAGACGCCGTCGTTCCCCGACTCAGGCCCCGCTACAGCCCCGCCTGGGCCTGGGATCCATTTTCCGCCGGCCCCCCCCCACCCGCTCCCTCTCTTCCCAGCGAGGAATTTCGCCCTTTCTGAGGTAATCTCAGGCCCTCTCTCCTAGAATCAAGTTAAGATGCTCACTCATCTTTCCCGTTTGGACGTTCCCTACCCTTTCGCTACTTGTAGGCCTGGTCGTTCACCAGGGACGGGCCTAGTTCCTCCTCAGCTCCTCCTCCGCCGCCGCCGCGTTTCCCCTCCCCCTCTCAGCCTCCGCGGATTTCGCCGGCCGGCGCCTGTGACCGGAAAGGGTCTCTAACGGCCGTTTCTTGAGTAAACTTAAATCCGCTTTGTTTACTGCAAGCTTTAGACCCATTTGGGGGTCGGGATCCTCTAATTAGATTATTTGGGCCCTAGTGTCCTATGGTTTCCACCAGGCAGCATTTTAATAGAAATTCAAATTAATGTTAGCTACTTTTACAAAATATTCGAGGTGAGGATAGAAGGGGACTTTGAATTACCAGCCGTTAATTAACTTAGCAAGTGGAATGTGGGCTTTGTGTGTAAATCTAAATTTCTGTTTGCTGCCCGTGCCCTATTTGACGTTTTTGAACAACACGCTTTTTTTTGGGGGGGGGGGGGCATTGCTGGTAGACTTAGTTTATCCTTGGTTCCACAAAAATTTGAACGGAAAGAGGTTTCCACAGAAATAGTTGTTTACGCCGAAAGGAAAATAGCGAGGGTAGTGTGGTTGTTTACTGATTATCTTTTAGTATTTTTGTTTTATATAACGTAAATATTTGTTGCGAGTTCAAATGGATTGTAAAAGTTGAGAGCGAGAGCAATACGTGAATTTGAAAATCAGCCGAAAAAATTGTAAATTAAGCGCTGAAATTATAGGGTTATTGGACCAATGATGTAGGTAGTGCTAGGATTATTTTTACAGGATATATATATATATTTTTAAGTGGGAAATACATCCACTCATTTCGTTGCTTTTTAAAATTCTGTTAGCATGCTTGTGTTTTTAGGATGATGAGAAAAGACCTGAGCTAAGGGAATATTTTTTTTCCAAAAGATTTAATAGTTGCTTGCAATAAATATTTGTGTTTGTTTAGAGTAATGTCTTTTATACTTTTTAAAAACTAGTTTTTGTGTTAGTAAGTTTTGTTGTGGAAAAATTAGAAAAAAGAAAAACAACCACAGTTATTGATCTTTGATTTTCTTTTCCGCTGGTGCGGACAGATGCACGTAAATGTTTTGTGAAATTATCTTGTTTTGTGTTAATTTTCACCAAATGTATTGTGAACAAGTTTGTCTTTTATCACAGTCTAAGTAGTCTTTTGGGACATTTTTCGTGGTTCCATAGAATTCTGTTGTAGCAGTATTTTGATGGATATTTAGGTGGTTAGAAATTTTCATCCCTTTTCAGTAATTGAGATAAACATCCTATTGCTTTCACATGATTTTTCATAGACTTAACTGTTTTTTTGTTGTATTTTTCTGATTTTTAAATCTGTTGCCTTTTTAGTGAGATAATTATGTATGTGTAAGTGCTTAGGAAAAGTGCAAAATAAAGAGCTCCAGAAGGAAAGCCTAAAAAGAATTTTAGACAGTTTATTGCTGGAGGACTATTCAGTTTCTCAAATAACACGTAATACATTATCTGTCTAAAAACATTTTGGTTATTTTCCATTTCAATGAGCTTTATTTCCCATCTATTTTTTACATACGTCTGTTTGGGTAGAGAGACTGACATTAGTTGAAATAAGTTGTTATACGTAAACGGTGATTAAGAGTTTGAGCTCTGGCTTGAAGTACCAGCTTAATAGCTGTGTGACCTTCAGCTGAGTTTCTTGTGTTCTCTGTGTCATATTCCTCATTTATAAAAATCAAAATAATAGTGTTGATCTTAGAGTTTTGTTAGGGTTAAGTGAGTTTTAAAAATGTGGAACCTTGCGACACTTAATAGTCAACAAATGTTTCTTGTTGTATGATTCATCTTGTTAGAAAACCAAATGTTCCTTAACGTTTAGTTAACTACTGATTTGTCGTTGTTGTTTTTGACCAGACTTTTTTTTGTCAAGTAGTGAAACATAATTGTTCCATCTGCTTTGTTAGCTAAAATTTAAGTGAGATTAAATCGAATGTGTTGTTGGAAGTTATTTTTCAAAACAATTTGGCAAATTTACACAAAAATAGTAAAAATGACCAGGTAAATGACATGTTATTAGTCGGTTAAGATTGTTCTGTCTAAAAAAAAAAATAGCAAAACAAATGAACAAAACAATCTCATAGATAAGAACACATTGATGGTTATGAGAGGACAATTGTTGGGGAGAGGGAGGAATAGGTGAAAGGGGTCAGTTGTATGGCAATGGATAATAAGTAGACTTGGTAGTAGTGTATACAGATATTGAGTTAAAATGTTGTATACCTGAAATCTTTATACACATGTATGTGCACAAACACTAATTTTGCCTTACCTGAAAAAAAAGAATCTTCTGGCCTTATGACTTGAAAATGTTAAGCCATGTATTCATTTACTGTTGGTATAAATGAATTGTCACTTGTTTTACATGATTTTTTTTGATCTCCAGAATTTTCTTAATACCGTAATTTTTGATAACTGGGTAAAATTATATAAATGTATTTTTCTTTTAAACTTCATGGCATTTCAGTAACTGGTCAGTTTAAGTCTGATCCAAGGCTAGATGTTACTCTTTTTACTTGATGTATCTGTGGCTAACTTTGTGTTCCTTGATACTGTTGATGGTGATGTGAGTCATGCACAGGTGTGACTTCACAGTGGCCATAGTTTCTATCATAACGTCAGATCATATATTTTTCTTTGGATTTGTGATTGTGATCTTAATAATTTTTTTTTTTCCTGAGATAAATATGCAGTTAACTGAAATCTAACTGTATATTTTTGGGAGTATTTTATTTAAAAAAGAAAAAAAAAAGACGAGTTTAGGAATCTGTTTTAAAGACTTTTTCTTAACTTTCACAGTTCTGGAAACTTAAGTTATGTAAAAAATATGTGCCAATAGATAGTGTTAAAGAAGCACTACTGGTAAGAAGTATCTGAAAGAAAAACAAAAATGGAGAATATTAACATAAGGTGGTTTAATTAGTTGAGTTACAAATATTAATTTATTGTATGATGTGGTAAAAATATTAATTTGATAACTTTTCTTGTCAAGTGGAAGGAGTGAAGGCCAGCTCAATGGTGAAACAAATACACCTATTGAAGGAAACCAGGCAGGTGATGCAGCTGCCTCTGCCAGGAGTCTACCAAATGAAGAAATAGTTCAGAAGATAGAGGAAGTACTTTCTGGGGTGTTAGATACAGAACTACGATATAAGCCAGGTAAGTTGGAGATAACCAGCTCTCTCAAACTTGAAGATTTTTTTAATGATTAACAGTATAATTTCTTGATTACATGGCATTTAAAATGTTAATTAGATCTAAAATGTCAATAAATTTTAGTTTTATTGGTATGCTGAAGAATTTGTTTAAATTCTTTGAAAATAAAATTGTACTGAAACACAAGCATTGATGCACTTGCTTGTTTTGCTGGTGGACTATGACTACTTGGTGCAGTCTTGTATTGCCTCTGCTTGGATTTTGAAAGTGGGTTTTTATTGCACAATTGTGTAAATATCCATTCTGGAAGGTACAGGAGCCTAGACCACATTTGTAATTTTAAAACCTGGGAGGTTTTATTTTAAAAACCACGTGTATAGATTGCCTTGTTTTTGCATCTATTCCTCTTAAAAATGCAATGAATATAGAGGAATTATTGCTTGGATATTTAGCACTTTTGGAATTCATTAAATAATTGATGCTTAGAAATGAAAGAGTTACCACAAAAGTACCTAAAAATAATTGTAGAAATGAAATGTGGTATGATTTTTTATTCAATTTTTATTATTTTTGGTGTAGAGTATGGTTTAAAAAAAAGGCAGAGACTTTAACCATACTTAGTTTTATGGCTCTAGGAACTTTTCCTTGATTGAAGTATAACTTGGCTGCATTTGATACACAATAAACAATTTATAGAAAATGATTAGTTTTGCTTTGGGATAGATCTTATTTTTCCGTAATCCTAGTGCCCTACGTTTCTGATCAGCCTTTTCTGGGGTCACTGAGATTTATCTAATTTGATATTGGCATTAGAGTAAATCCCATCTGGTTGTAAAGTGGAATAGAAACCACTTTCTCTTTCAGATATGCAAATCTAAATGTTCTTAAGTTATATGTTAAGAGCTATAAGAATTTTTTTTACCAAAATGACTTTATACTATTTTTTTAGTAGAAACATTTAAAAACGTGTTTTGTTAGTATTTTTAGAAGGTGATTGGGGGCGGGGAATTATTTTTATTAGGCTGTAATGGGTGTGATAAGGGAAAATTCAAGTTCCATATTGATGCTTTACGTTTATTGTTCAGACCTTTGTATACTATATGAAAGCAATCACTGACATTTGCTTATTACATGCCAGGCATTGTTCGGTGTACTTTGTGTGACTTAATTCACTTCACTCTTTAACTCTAGGAGACAGTGTGTCAGTAATTTGGCCAAGTCCATTCATCTAGTGAGTGGTGGGTTGATTCATGACCCCAAAACACTTTGTTTCAGAGCCAGTGCCATGTTGTTTCCTATGTAAATAGGACATAGAATAGTCAAAAGAATTATTTAACATAGGCATTTTTTATAGGAACTCGAATGGTGATAATGTGAAAGATATTTGTAAGTGTATTTTTAAAGTAATTTGCTATAATTCGAGAGTTGGAAAAAAAAAATCGTTTTAAATGAATTTATTTGAAACACATTTTAATAGGATTCTAAAAGTTTCTGTTTTAACTAAGAACCTATTTTTAACCTAGGCTTTAGTTGTAGAAGCATTGGAAAAGTGTCAGCCTCAGGTAATTGGTTTGTGGAAATGGTTTATTTGATAGCTTATTTAGCAAGAAATATTATACTATGGTATCTTAGCATGGAATATAAATTGGCTTATGTGATTTATCTAAATCTGCTTTGAGAAGTGTTTGACAAAATTTCTTTTAATTTCAGACTTGAAGGAGGCCTCCAGAAAAAGTAGATGTGTGTCTGTACAAACAGATCCCACTGATGAAATTCCCACCAAAAAGTCAAAGAAGCATAAAAAGCACAAAAATAAAAAGAAGAAAAAGAAGAAAGAGAAGGAAAAAAAGTATAAAAGACAGCCAGAAGATGCTGAATCAAAGCTGAAATCACATCATGATGGGAACATGGATTTAGAATCGGATTCCTTTTTGAAGTTTGACTCTGAACCTTCAGCGATGGCACCAGAGCATCCCATAAGAGCCTTTGGCCTATCTGAGACCAGTGAATCCCCTGCAGTTATGCTAGAACCTCCTATAGTATCAATGGAGGTATCACAGCCACACACTTTTGAATCTCCGAAGCCAGCTACAAAAACTGCAGAACTGTCAGTTGCATCTACATCAGTAATCGCAGTGCAGTCAGAGCAGTCTGTGGCAGTTACGCTGGAACCATCCACAACAAAGATTCTGGATTCTTTTGCAACAGCACCAATGCCTACAACAACAGTAGTGCTACAGTCATCTGAGCCAGTTGTAACAATGTCAAATCAGATGAAGTCTGTGCTGAAGTCTTTGGAGAACACACCTCCAGAGCCATCAAAGATTGTGTTAGAGCCTCCAGTAGCAAAAGTGCTAGAGCCATCAGAAACCCTTGTGATAACATCAGAGACGTCTACTGAGGTGCACCCTGAGCCAAGCACATCAACAACAATGGATTTTCCAGAGTCATCTGCAACTGAAGTACTAAGATTGCCAGAGCAGCCTGTAGAAGTACCATCGGAGATTGCAGATTCATCCATGACAAGATCACAGGAGTTGCTGGAGCTGCCCAAGACCACAGCATTGGAGCTGCCGGAGTCGCCGGTGGCCTCAGTGATGGAGTTGCCGGGGCCACCTGCGACCTCCATGCCGGAGTTGCAGGGGCCCCCTGTGACTCCAGTGCTGGAGTTACCTGGGCCCTCTGCTACCCCGGTGCCAGAGTTGCCAGGGCCCGTTTCTACCCCAGTGCCTGAGTTGCTAGGGCCCCCTGCGACAGCAGTGTCTGAGTTGCCGGGGCCCTCTGTGACATCAGTGCCACAGTTGTCACAGGAGTTGCCAGGGCTTTCAGCACCATCCATGGGGTTGGAGCCACCACAGGAGGTACCAGAGCCACCTGTGATGGCGCAGGAGTTACCAGGGCTGCCTGTGGTAACAGCAGCAGTAGAGTTGCCAGGGCAGCCTGCGGTAACAGTAGCAATGGAGTTGACAGAGCAACCTGTGACGACGACAGAGTTGGAGCAGCCTGTGGGGATGACAACGATGGAACATCCTGGGCAGCCTGAGGTGACAACGGCATCAGGGTTGCTGGGGCAGTCTGAGGCAGCAATGGTGCTGGAGTTGCCAGGACAGCCAGTGGCAACGACAGCGCTGGAGTTGCCAGGGCAGCCTTCGGTGACTGGGGTGCCAGAGTTGCCAGGGCTGCCTTCGGCAACTAGGGCACTGGAGTTGTCAGGGCAGCCTGTGGCAACTGGGGCACTGGAGTTGCCTGGGCAGCTCATGGCAACTGGGGCACTGGAGTTCTCGGGGCAGTCTGGGGCAGCTGGAGCACTGGAGCTTTTGGGGCAGCCTCTGGCAACAGGGGTGCTGGAGTTGCCTGGGCAGCCTGGGGCGCCAGAGTTGCCTGGGCAGCCTGTGGCAACTGTGGCGCTGGAGATCTCTGTTCAGTCTGTGGTGACAACAACGGAGCTGTCAACGATGACCGTGTCGCAGTCCCTGGAGGTGCCCTCGACGACAGCGCTGGAATCCTATAATACGGTAGCACAGGAGCTGCCTACTACGTTAGTGGGGGAGACTTCTATAACAGTAGGAGTGGATCCCTTGATGGCCCAAGAATCCCATATGTTAGCTTCTAACACCATGGAGACCCATATGTTAGCATCCAACACCATGGACTCCCAAATGCTAGCGTCCAACACCATGGACTCCCAGATGCTAGCATCCAATACCATGGATTCTCAGATGTTAGCAACCAGCTCCATGGACTCCCAGATGTTAGCAACCAGCTCCATGGACTCCCAGATGTTAGCAACCAGCTCCATGGACTCCCAGATGTTAGCAACCAGCTCCATGGACTCCCAGATGTTAGCAACCAGCTCCATGGACTCCCAGATGTTAGCAACCAGCTCCATGGACTCCCAGATGTTAGCAACCAGCTCCATGGACTCCCAGATGTTAGCAACCAGCTCCATGGACTCCCAGATGTTAGCAACCAGCTCCATGGACTCCCAGATGTTAGCAACCAGCTCCATGGACTCCCAGATGTTAGCAACCAGCTCCATGGACTCCCAGATGTTAGCAACCAGCTCCATGGACTCCCAGATGTTAGCAACCAGCACCATGGACTCCCAGATGTTGGCATCTGGCACTATGGACTCTCAAATGTTAGCTTCCGGCACCATGGATGCTCAGATGTTAGCATCTGGTACCATGGATGCCCAGATGTTAGCATCTAGTACCCAAGATTCTGCTATGTTGGGTTCAAAATCTCCTGATCCATACAGGTTAGCTCAGGATCCTTACAGGTTAGCTCAGGATCCTTATAGGTTAGGCCATGACCCTTACAGGCTAGGTCATGATGCCTACAGGTTAGGGCAAGACCCCTATAGATTAGGGCATGACCCCTACAGACTAACTCCTGATCCCTATAGGATGTCACCTAGACCTTATAGGATAGCACCCAGGTCCTATAGGATAGCACCCAGACCATATAGGTTAGCACCAAGACCTCTGATGTTAGCATCTAGACGTTCTATGATGATGTCCTATGCTGCAGAACGTTCCATGATGTCATCTTACGAACGCTCTATGATGTCTTACGAGCGGTCTATGATGTCCCCTATGGCTGAGCGTTCTATGATGTCAGCCTATGAGCGCTCTATGATGTCAGCCTATGAGCGCTCTATGATGTCCCCTATGGCTGAACGCTCTATGATGTCAGCTTATGAACGCTCTATGATGTCAGCATACGAGCGCTCCATGATGTCCCCAATGGCTGACCGTTCTATGATGTCCATGGGTGCCGACCGGTCTATGATGTCATCGTACTCTACTGCTGACCGGTCTATGATGTCATCGTACTCTGCAGCTGACCGCTCTATGATGTCTTCTTACACTGCTGACCGTTCAATGATGTCTATGACAGCTGATTCTTACACTGATTCTTATACTGACACATATACAGAGGCATATATGGTGCCACCTTTGCCTCCTGAAGAACCTCCAACAATGCCACCATTGCCACCTGAGGAGCCACCAATGACACCACCATTGCCTCCTGAGGAACCACCAGAGGGTCCAGCATTACCAACTGAGCAGTCAGCATTAACAGCTGAAAATGCTTGGCCTACTGAGGTGCCAGCATTACCTCCTGAAGAGTCTGTATCGCTGCCTGAACCTCCTGTGAGTCAAAGTGAGATTTCAGAGCATTCGGTAGTGCCTGCTAATTACTCAGTATCGGCATCAGAGCCTTCACTGTTGGCATCAGAGGCTGCCATGACTGTTCCAGAGCCACCACTAGAACCAGAGTCTTCGGTTACATCAACACCTACAGAATCTGCTGCAATAGCAGAAGAGCATGAAATTGTTCCAGAGAGACCAGTGACTTATATGGTATCTGAAACTCCTGTAATGTCAGCTGAACCAACTATGTTAACATCAGAGCCTTCCGTTATGTCAGAGACAGCAGAAACCTTTGATTCCATGAGAGCTTCAGAACATGTTCCATCAGAGGTATCTATGTCCCTGCTGGATCCTACAGTAACTATTCCAGAGCCATCGCAGAGCATTCTAGAGCTATCAGCCATGGCTGTCTCAGAGCTACCAGCTGTGTCTGTCCCGGAGCTCCCAGCCGAGGCTGTCGTGGAGCCCCCAGCCGAGGCTCTCCCGGAGCCCCCAGTTTTGGCTGTTCCAGAGCCTTTAGCCGAGGCTGTTCCAGAGCCCTTGGCTGTGACTGTTCCAGGTCTACCGGTCATGGCTGTCCCAGGGCAACTAGCTGAGGCTGTCCCAGAGCCCCTGGCCTTGGTTGAGCCAGAGCCTGTTACCATTCCTGTGCCAGTGGTTTCTGCTGTGGACTCTGCTGTGCCTGTCTTGGAACCAGCAGTATCGGTCTTTCAACCTAACATGATTGTTTCAGAACCATCTGTTTCTGTCCAAGAATCCACTGTGTCAGTTTTAGAGCCTGCTGTTACTGTGTCAGAGCAGACTCAAGTAATATCAACTGAGATGGTTTTAGAGTCTACACCAGTGATGTTGGAGTCTAGTGTTGTAAAAGGAATGAATTTACTATCTGGTGATCAAAATCTTGCTCCAGAAATTGGCATGCAGGAGTTTCCCTTGCATTCAGATGAGGAGCCACATACTGAAGGATACCTGAAGAATGACACTTATGAAAGTGAACATGGTGTAAATATAGACCATAATGTAAATAATCATTTAATTGCTAAAGAAATGGAACATAGCACAGTGTCTGCTGCCAGCACTGGTGCTGTTGGTGAAATTGGTGGAGAGAAAAGTTTGCCAGTCAATGAGACTAAACAGTGCACAGTATTGGATACCTGCCCTAGTGTTAGTGAAGCTGATGTAGGAGGAACTTTGTCTTCTACTGGTCCCTTTGCTCTTGAATCGGATACAGTGGGAACTAGTAAGGGTATTGAATTTGCCACAGCATCTGCTCTCAGTTCAATTAGTAAATATGATGAAGTATGTTTAACTACTCAAGACACCGAACATGACATGGTAATTTCCAGCAGCCCCAGTGGTGGTAGTGAGGCTGACATAGAGGGACCTTTGCCTGCTAAAGACATTCATCTTGACTTACCATCTAATAACTTTATTAGTAATGATGCAGAAGGACCATTACCTATAAAAGAGAGTGACCAGACATTAGCAGGTGCTCTCAGCCCTAAAGAAAATAGTGAAGATAAAGAAGTACCTGTCTCTACAAAAGAGATACTGTCTGATTCAGGATTTTCTGCCAATATCGATGACATTAATGAAGCAGATTTAGTGAGACCATTGCTTCCTAAGGACATGGAACGACTTACAAGTCTCAGAGCTGGTATTGAAGGACCCTTACTTGCAAGTGAAGTTGAACGTGATAAGTCTGCTGCCAGTCCAATTGTAGTTAGTATACCAGAAAGAGCTTCAGAGTCGTCTTCAGAGGAAAAAGATGATTATGAAATTTTTGTAAAAGTTAAGGACACACATGAAAAAAGCAAGAAAAATAAGAATCGTGATAAAGGTGAGAAAGAGAAGAAAAGAGACTCTTCTTTAAGATCTCGAAGTAAGCGGTCCAAGTCTTCTGAACACAAATCACGGAAGCGTACCAGTGAGTCTCGTTCTAGGGCAAGGAAGAGATCATCTAAGTCCAAGTCTCATCGCTCTCAAACACGTTCACGGTCACGTTCAAGACGCAGAAGGAGGAGCAGCAGGTCAAGATCAAAGTCTAGAGGACGACGATCTGTATCAAAAGAGAAGCGCAAAAGATCTCCAAAGCACAGATCCAAGTCCAGGGAAAGAAAAAGAAAAAGATCAAGCTCCAGAGATAACAGGAAAACTGTTAGAGCTCGAAGTCGCACCCCAAGTCGGCGGAGTCGGAGTCACACTCCGAGTCGTAGAAGAAGATCTAGATCTGGGGGGAGAAGGAGCTTTAGCATTTCTCCAAGCCGACGGAGCCGCACCCCGAGCCGACGGAGCCGCACCCCGAGCCGACGGAGCCGCACCCCGAGCCGACGGAGCCGCACCCCGAGCCGACGGAGCCGCACCCCGAGCCGACGGAGCCGCACCCCGAGCCGACGGAGCCGCACCCCGAGCCGACGGAGCCGCACCCCGAGCCGACGGAGCCGCACCCCGACAGCAGATCTCTCCGTCGTAAACGATCTCGGTCTTCGGAAAGAGGCAGGTCACCTAAACGTCTGACAGATTTGAGTAAGTCATTTAAAAATTTAATGGTAGTATAATGGAGAATGATGTAAGTTTCATCTGAGAGTTTTTTCTGATCTTTGAGTCAAATGGGATATTATGGGTTATTGGTTTAGGATAAGTATTTTTCCAAATTTATATCATTTAGAAGAGCTTGTGTTTACATGTGGGGATAGAGTTTAAAGAAATACTTACTTTGGAGTATATTAGAACCAAGGTGTTTCCATACTTGAATGTTTTATTTTGCTTGAACCATCTCACGTAACCAAAAATGGAAAGTAGAAGTCCAGTTAAAAACAAGGTTAGTATATGCTCAGATTGTTATTGTATGTATTCCAAAATAAATCCTTGAAAGTAAACCTATAATTATGATGTTTCTTTAATGTTATGTCTTAAAATGGCAAGATAGCACTGTTAAATGTGAAGGTAATTCTAATTGGTATAATAGGTAATGGAAGTGAGTAGGGAATTTTGCACATGGGGAATTACTTACCTGGGTAGGTGACATTAGCAAAATAAAGTGACTTTTTTTAAAGTGATTTTAATAATCTGCCTTATTTTAAAAATAAAGTGCTCTGATTTCCCCCGATTTTAAGAAGTGTACAGAGATTATTAAAACTTGGATTATACATGACTCCCTGCAGAAATAATGGGTAATTTATCATTATCCAAGTAGTTGGACATTTCTAAGTCTGTGTTGTCTAAAGAAAAGAGGCCTTAACAGAATAAGAGAGAATGCGTTCAGTTCAACAGAAAGGTTTTTGAGTTGTTTTTTTTTTTACTCAAAGTAGAGGTATTAGTATGTGCTTGAAGCGATTACAGGTTAGTAGAGGAGACGTGGATAAAGTATAATGTATGTGTTTACCAAATAGTAAAACTGCCAAAAAGCAGAGTGTGATGATTGCTGTAAGTACTGGTATAGGTAAAAGCACTTTGGGAGCACAGTGAAGAGGAATGTTAAATTCTGACTTAAGATTTGTTAGAAGAGGTGACACTTGAACTTGGGCTCAAAGAGTGGTTTAAAATGTCAGAAATTAGAAGGAAAGTAATTTTAGGGGCATGACAATTTTGGAAAATAAAGTAAGCTTTTTGTAGGTAAGGCAAGGTGGTCTCACTATTTTCTGTAGTATTTTATTGAGAAGCTACGAGTGGACTTAATTCTTTAAGTAGGGGGCATTCGCTTAAAAACTTTGAGCCAAAGAGTGATTTGATCATAGCTGGGAGGCAGAAAATTGATGCCTTCAATTTTGTTAGCATATAAAACTTTTGGTAATACAGAAGGTACAGACTTTTAGGAAAACTGCTTATATTTTTCCTCTTACAGATAAGGCTCAATTACTTGAAATAGCCAAAGCTAATGCAGCTGCCATGTGTGCTAAGGCTGGTGTTCCTTTACCGCCAAACCTAAAGCCTGCACCTCCACCTTCAATAGAAGAGAAAGTTGCTAAAAAGTCAGGAGGAGCTACTATAGAAGAACTAACTGAGGTAAGTTAGATAGAATTTGTTTCTTAAATGGATTATTCCAGTGATGTTGACTCTGGAGCGTGCCAAAACCCGAATTGTGGGCTGAACTGATAATGGCTGGCACCGAGTGGCCAAAACCCGAAATACAGATGTGGCAGCGGCAGAAGCTCTGTTTAGCAGGCCATTATCCGGGATGGCTAAGCTCCGCTAGCTAAAAGTTACTTCCCATTACTTTTGCTTTCCAGTTTTAGAAGCCAAACTGACTGAGGAGTGGGACGGTTCGTTTGAATGGAGGAGGTGTTGAGTGAGCAACACGCAGAAGCTCGCCTACAGTTTCGTTTCCATTCACGACGTGTTCACTGATCGCCACGAGTATACTGCATATACGCAAAGACACAGACAATCTTCAGAAATGATCTTTTGCCACCGGAGCTTGGAAATTAATGAGTAATAGCTGGCCATTGCCTGAAAGGAACTTCTTTCGCATCAACATTTCGGGTTTTGGCTGTTTGGTATCAGCCATTGGTGATAATGGCCGGCCATTATCAGTTCTTCCTTGCGGTTCGGGTTTTGGCAGTAACATATATATTTTAAACACACTTATTTTTGTTTTTAAGAATTTGATCTTTTCAATTGAGGCTTTTTTTGGCTTTGTTTTATTAATATTATTTGTTTTTTTCTGGGGCGGGGGGGACGCTGAAATATTGCTGCTAGGATCCAGAATACCACACAGTTTCATATATTGAAACTTGCTCTCGGCTAGCCTTATGCCAGCCTGCCACTGTCAATATACTCTGTTCCCCTTGGTTACAAGCTTAGTATACTCTGTTTTTGGCTAAATGAGCTTTTTATCCTATTGTAATATTTTCAATTGAAAATGGATGTGACAAATTCTACTGCTTGTATAGAGACAACTCCACCCAAATTTACTCTGACCTTTTTATAAAGCCAGGTAATGGAGTCTGTTCCTTTGCTTCTCAGGAAGGAATTGACTTTGCTTTATGTGTCAGACCTCATGAATTGCACCCTCTCCATCATGCCTTATTTTCCATTCTTGAGTTCTATTCCTTTAGAGAGACTCAATCTACAAGACATTTATGGAGAGATGTTACTATCTAACCAAATCATAAATGTTTCAAATCTTTTATTTTGTCATACCTTTGGGGATTGTATAGTTTCCTAATCTGTTTCATCACTTAGATTTATTACAATAGGAATTACAATTTCTTTTTTTTAATTTGAGGACCTATTAAAGGCGGCTTCTATTGCTTGTCAGATCCAAACTCCTTATTGAAAACCTGTGAACACTTAGTGTTTCCCTATGTTTTTAGCCTCATCTTCAGCTCTCTTGTCCCTTCTAATAAGTTGCTCTCACCTTTCTACCACCTGACTAGGATCACTTTCTTTTCTCTGCCAGTCTTTGTTATCTATGAAAATCTGGCTTAGAACTCAAGGAATATCCCTGGATTACCAAATTCTGCCTGATTCTATTCTCTTTTAAGCTTTTGTTCTTTCAGCACTTATGTACTCAGTTTGTATTATATCAGTTTGCACTTGTTACTTGTGTTGCTCTGTAAAAGCGTTCCTCAATTTCATGTGTATGTATTCCGTCTCTTGAATTAGATTGTAAGCTCCTTGAGAGCAGGGACCATGTCTTCTACTTTCTTTTTGTATTCCCTGGACAGTGCCCAGTACAGTGCTCTGCACATAGTAGGTGCTCAATAAATGTTGTTGACTGACTGACCAGCTAAAGTGTGTTTAAATAATAGCTAATAAGCCAAGTTACCCATCTATAACCTGTCGTTTTAGTTTTATGTGGTTTTGGTTCTTTTAAGAAGTTACATGTTGTTTTTACCTAGAGTGTAAGATTTATCTTTTGTTTGTTTTTACTTTTTAAGAAATGCAAACAAATCGCACAGAGTAAAGAAGATGATGATGTAATAGTGAATAAGCCTCATGTTTCGGATGAAGAGGAAGAAGAACCTCCTTTTTATCATCATCCATTTAAACTCAGTGAACCCAAACCCATTTTTTTCAATCTGAATGTGAGTATTAGCATTTATAGATTGATGAAATAATACAACTTATGGAATTATTTAAAACTTTAATGGAACTTAGTTTAATTTTTGAATTAAATACTATGAGAAATAATAAACAAAAATCATCTCCGACTGTTAAATCTATTGAGTTTTAATTAAGAAACATTTTTTTTTTTAGATTGCTGCAGCAAAGCCAACTCCACCAAAAAGCCAGGTAACGTTAACAAAAGAATTTCCTGTGTCATCTGGATCTCAACATCGAAAAAAAGAAGCGGATAGCGTTTATGGAGAGTGGGTTCCTGTAGAGAAAAATGGTGAAGAAAACAAAGACGACGATAATGTTTTCAGCAGCAATTTGCCCTCTGAGGTAAGTAAGAGGAATATTACATATTTTTCCTTTTTTATACCTGAATCTGCCATTTTATTGTTATTTTATATCTGATTTGGATTCTGTTTCACTCTTCTTAGGGCCGGGGTAAACGGCAGGGCCGGGTTAAACGACAGATGAAACAACCCGCAGCTTCTCATTTGACAGTAACTCGATGCAATTCACTTTGTGGAACCAAGCCACAAAGTGAAAAGCATCGAATTGCAGAGAACAGTGTTGTCACATCCCTACCCAACATTGGGCCCTCCTTGCACTTGTGGGAAGGTAGCCCAAGGTATAACTATTTAGCTTCCCGTTTTGCTTCAAGGCTCTATAGCTCTAGATTTTGGTGGTAGCAAGTTTACTGGGACTGAGTGGAGAGAGGCAGATCCTCAGGTTCAACACAAGAAGTGGATTGGAAAAGGTCATTGTAGGCTGATGTGAGCATCTTGGATACATAGCCCATTGCCCTTAAATAATGGTTTCTTAATATTTCTCTGGGTTGTCAGATAGCCTTTAATTTTAATCATTTTCCCTTCCCTGTGCTACCTTGGCCGTTTTGAATTCTTGTGTTTAACCTAATGCTCAGCCTTGGTATACTCCCATTTCCCTTCTCCTACCCCTCTTTGCTACTATTAAAAGTTGGAGAAGTGGAACACACCTTGAAATTTTCATGAGGCTATAGTTGCATCTTGTCAAAATGACGCGGTAATAATGCCAAGTGTCAAAATGACCCCAGTAAAATGCCGCCTGATTAATGTGCTGCTAAATATAGTGCACATGAAAACAGCAAGACTGTATATATATGTAAATATATATATATATCTGTATCTTTGTATGTATCTCTGTATCTGTACCTTTGCTGTATCTTTTAATAAACAGTTTACTTTTATTTAACTTGTTGTGCAAAATCACGCTTGGGGGATCTGGGAGGGTGGAGACTTACTTACTAGGGGAGGGTGGGAGTTTTAAATACCATAGACTAGTCATCACCTCTTGCCCTTGGTTTCCAAAGCCCAGACATATTTGTTCAAGGACTGGATTAGATATCTGATGCCTTTACAATGTGGGACTTCTTCCCCACTTCCTTTTCTTGCAGTTCTGGGATATGTAGGTCAGAGAGACCTGTACTGCTCATCTTCAGGTTTCCTTTATTAGCCATATCATCATCTTCCACTAAACATCTCCAGTATTACAAATATGCAAATCCTGTTTGAAATTAGAAAGTGAACAGAACCCAAATCAGAAACTTTTCGGTAGTATTTTTTTCCCCCTGAGCTATTCATAGGTGACATTTTTACTTTTTTTTTTTTTTTTGGACCTGCGGCATTTTTAAAAGCGAGTTCTATACAGTGAAGCTGGCTGGGACATGATAACTAGCCAATGCAACTTACAGTCACCAGTGATGATCTGTGTTTTCATGGGATTCAACAATTGAAGCAAATTATGCCATCACCAGTAAGGGAGGAATAGCTGGTTTGAACATTATTTTAGTCAAACCATTTGAGTACCTCAGTTGCTAATCGCTAAATCTGGCTACCTGCACATCTGAACAAGGAAAGGATAACATATTTGCAACTGACTTAAATATTGTAGTAGCTGACTACAAACCATGATAAGAGGGCTGAACAGACTTATTTAGAAATTTTGATACATATGCTTAGTAATTTCTTGCAAATTAAGCATTTAACAAAGAGTTGGAAAAAATCGAGGTTACATGAAAAAAATTTTGCGACAGAATGAAGCCCTATAAAATAAAATTGCAAAATTCCAAGGGGTTTTCCTGAGAAGATAAGTGACAATAACTATTTTAACTCAGTTGAACATGGGGAAAGTGCTTCATGAATCCTGATGACTTTGTTTCTGACCGAGAGTTTTTTTATATATATGTATATATATTCGAAATTCAGTACTCAGCCAATTTTAGTCTTAACACGGGAGGGAGGGGTGCCTTAGCCTTGTCTGTCATCGAAAGTGCTTGTCAGATTTTAATTAAAAGTTGGGAGGAATTAACTCCAAAGAAATCCCAGGGGAAAAAGGTGGGTATTCAAATTTTATAATAAGGGAGTGTTAAAGCAGGAGGTAAAAGGAAGGGTTCTACTCGGACAGCTAAATAAATGAAGCAGATTTCTACTGTGGGAGGATATATACAGGTATTTGATATCAGAACTCTGAAAGCTAGTTTTAGATTAAACTCAACATATAGGTTTAACTTTAAGCAAAATAATCTTAAAATTTTAGGAAAGGGACAGGATTTTGTTCTGCCTCAGGTTTCTGTACTTTTATGTAGCTATAATATTAAACACCTGGAGGAAATGTTCACATTATAAAATGTTTAGTTTTAGTTATTTAACTGGATCTTATACCGTATTTGTAAGATTAATATTCTGTACACCAATGTTTATGGAATACTGTTGGTGACATTTTATGAGAGCATTGATCCTTTTGAGTCCCTCTTGGGTTGAAATAAAGGCTTTATAGTGTAAAAGAAAGTTCTTTAAAAGTTCTTTTAAAGTCAACATTTTAACCAAATAGTTTTTAAAAATTTATTTTACCCATTGGTCTTTTCATTTTAATAAATACGGATTTTGTGGTTCTTTAGTTTTGAGCATAAAACATTTAGGCAAAGGTCACAGATTTTATGTTTTGCTATGATCTTTAATCTCACCAATTGTCTTGGACATGAGTGCTCTTTGACATAAGTATGAGTGGATATGGATGGATCAACATAAATTCATATCTTATGGAATATCAACTCATCAGATTGGCTGCCCTACTGACATAGCATCGTCTTAGGAAGTAGCAAGCCATCATCATCCTCAGTAAGGCGTGACTACAGAATTTTTAACATATTTTTGTGTGAATTTGATTTATAAGCATTGAAATAAAGTGTTGGAAAACTAACATTTAAAAAATTGTCCTGAGGGACATTAATTCTTGGTAATAAGGTTAGCAAAGGCTTATTGGGTAAAAGATTTTAAATGTCATCTTTGACATAAAACTTCCTTGGGTTTACTATCATAAATATTTTAGAGGTCCATAAGTAGCTCTCCATTAAGGTCTAGTGATCGCTTACATGTGAAGATAATTTTTATCTCAGGCTGTGTGCTTCGTTTTTATTGCTGAAGAATATTTCTACATCCCAATGGAGCTAACGTATAGAAACTCTAAGTTTATGAAGTTTAAGTAAGCTAAGTTCTAGGGACAAGGTGAAAATTTCAATTGGAAATTAAACACATAGGTCCTAGCAGTGCTAGAATGTAATTACAGCCTTCTCATTCATTCTCTCCCTAGATTGTCCTAGGTGATTAACACTGAATTTCCTTAAACCATTTATTAAGTTTTGTTTGTTTTTCTGTTATAATTCATTTAGATTAAACGTATAAGTTAAACATTACACTAGATTATTTTATATAATAAAAAGATTGATAATTCACTTTTTAAAACAACACATTAACAACAGACATATTTAATGTGGCTTTTGTTTTTGTAGTTGTCTTTCATTTCTATATGAACCTCTATTCTAAATATTTTAAAATCATGTTTTGTATGTAGGTAAGATGCTTCTTTAGTTTCTTTATAATTAAAACTTATGTTGTCTTAATTTGAGATACCTGCAACTAGTGTAGAAAGTAATTTTTATATTAGGAGCTACTTTCTTTATCTGACTCATAATTCTCTAGCTCTTTCATATCCTTTTATTTTTAAGAAATACTTAGGATACTTTATGTAAACAGTTGGGTTAACAAAAGGAGGAAATAAATTGATTTAGAAGAATTTTTTTAAATGAGGAAGATACAGAACTTACATGATTACAACTTAGACCCTGAAATACATGTTACATGGTGCTAATTACGTTACATATTTTATTTCTGGCACCTTTATAGGTTATAGAAGAAGTAGTAATCTGTGTTGATGAAGTAAATGAAATAACTTGGTCAGGATTTAATGTGAACTGGAATTATTCATGACACTGTTATGTAGATTTCACCTTTTAGAACAAGTTCCAAGAAAAAAGAAAGTAAACATTAACCCCCATTATATTAGCTAGAATATTAATCAATCATAGTTATACTTTATATAATTATACTTTACATATTAGAAAGTCTATAGTATTGTCAGTGGAAACAAAGCTTGTTGATGACAGACAGCTTGATATTAGTATTCTATGAGACTTAAGATTTTTTCCCCCAGTTTTTAGTAAGGAGTTTTTAGCATCATTTTGGTACCTTTCACATTTTTGTTTCTGAGCAACATTAAAAGGTGGTTAAGGCTGTAAAGCTCCACTATAAAGTATGGTATACTATAGACTAACACACACACACACACACACACACACACACACACACACTCACACTCACACTCACACTCTCACTCTCACTCTCACTCTCCCCCCCCACCCTCTCTCCCTCTCTCCCTCTCCCCC